CCAGTGGCTGCGCCCGCATGCGGTTCCACCCCCCATTCTGGCACACCCCTCACACGTTTCGTGGCCCCATAGGGAGCTCCACCGAAGGCCCCAGTGGCTGCGCCCGCATGCGGTTCCACCCCCCATTCTGGCACACCCCTCACACGTTTCGTGGCCCCATAGGGAGCTCCACCGAAGGCCCCAGTGGCTGCGCCCGCATGCGGTTCCACCCCCCATTCTGGCACACCCCTCACACGTTTCGTGGCCCCATAGGGAGCTCCACCGAAGGCCCCAGTGGCTGCGCCCGCATGCGGTTCCACCCCCCATTCTGGCACACCCCTCACACGTTTCGTGGCCCCATAGGGAGCTCCACCGAAGGCCCCAGTGGCTGCGCCCGCATGCGGTTCCACCCCCCATTCTGGCACACCCCTCACACGTTTCGTGGCCCCATAGGGAGCTCCACCGAAGGCCCCAGTGGCTGCGCCCGCATGCGGTTCCACCCCCCATTCTGGCACACCCCTCACACGTTTCGTGGCCCCATAGGGAGCTCCACCGAAGGCCCCAGTGGCTGCGCCCGCATGCGGTTCCACCCCCCATTTCGGCACACCCCTCACACGCTTCGTGGGTGGCTCCATGGGGAGCTCCACCGAACGCCCCAGTGGCTGCGCTCGCATGTGGTTCCCCCCCCCATTTCGGCACACCCCTCACACGGTTCGTGGCCCCATAGAGAGCTCCACCGAAGGCCCCAGTGGCTGCGCTCGCATGCGGTTCCACCCCCTTTTTCGGCACGCCCTTCACACGTCTCGTGGCCCCATAGGGAGCTCCACCGAACGCCGCAGTGGCTGCGCTCGCATGCGGTTCCACCCCCCATTTCGGCACACCCCTCACACGTTTCGTGGCTCCATAGGGAGCTCCACCGAAGGCCCCAGTGGCTGCGCTGGCATGCGGTTCCACACCCCATTCTGGCACACCCCTCGCACGTTTCGTGGCCCCATAGGGGGCTCCACCGAAGGCCCCAGTGGCACTGCCCGCTTGCGTCCGCCACCACCCAGCACAGCCCTTGTTCCCTGCGCTTCACCCACCCAGAACAGCGCTTGGTAGCCCTATAGGGACCTCCACCAAAGGTCCCAGCGGCACCGCCCGCATGCGTCCGCCACCACGCAGCACAGCCCTTGCTCCCTGCACCCAGTACAGCGTTTCGTGGCCCCACAGGGAGCTCCACCGAAGGTCCCAGTGGCACCGCCTGCATGCGTCCGCCACCACCCAGCACAATTGCGGCATTCACAACTGCATATGGTTGGGTCCTTCGCCAGGCTAATTTTCGGCGATCATGGGCATTATAAAAAAGGGGGGAGGGGCCAGGGGAAGGTATAATGTACCGCCTCCCCCCCGCCGTGCGCACGGCGGCAGTGCCCGGAGCGCACTGGGGGGGGCAAGCGGCATTACGTCATAGGGGGGGGGAGGGGAGGCCGGGGGCTATAATGCCCATTATATGCCCCAAGCACTACAGAAACACGCTTTTAGATCGAGCTTCCCTTCGCCCCCTGCTGGAGAAGGAGGCGGGGCCAGCATTCGACTCTGGAGGCAGGCAGGCGCCTCGAGAGCAGATCGCGGCCCGGGAATCCCATACAGTCGGGGCGTTGACCTAAGAAACCCTAACTAAGGACCGAGGCCCCTTTTTTCCATACGTTAAACTTCGACGTCCCATCGAAAACATAAGGAAAAACCTGAGGCAAGCTGTGAAACACTTCAGGAACGCGGAGCCCCTCCCCAGCGAAAAGGGTGTCTTCTTCAGGGCCACGACTGTACTCCAGATTTCGTAAGAAAGGGAGGGGGGTCTCATTTCGGGGGGGGGGGTCTCTTCCAGGCTATCTTGGAGAGCCTGGGGGGTCTGGGGACGATGTTTTGGAGGGTTCTCCCACGGGGGAGGTCTGAAATGGCTTGTCTTGGAGGGTCCAGGAAATCTGGAGTACCGAGTCCTGCTCTCGACGACCGGTGGGCACTGGCCTCCCCGACCATGGACGGACCAGTGGCCCTGCAGATCGCGGGCGAGCTTCGCTGCCGCCGCCGTCCCACGCCCCCGGAACATCGTCCACCCGGCCCCCGTCCCCAGCGGCGTGGCCTGGGCCCCACGGGCCGATTCACCCCCCCTGGAGGGAGGTATGGGCCGCTCCCCTCGGGTCTCGAGGGCCGTCTCCCCCACTGGGGCTGGTATTCTGGCGGGGGCCTCGAAGGGGACGAGGACGGGGATGGGGGTCGGTGCAACGATACCGACCCCCGCCCCCGGCCCGCGAGGGGACAGCGGAGCGAACGCAGGGAGTCCTGCGTGGCGCGCCCCCCAGAGATCCGATGTCGTGACTTTTTCAAGACGGGGTCCCCTGAAGTCTCTTACCAGCCTGGAACATATCCCTATCCCTATGCTGGGCACCTCCTCATCACGATGCCAATCTTAGGGATTCCCTTATGTTTTGAGGGCGAATCCCTAAGATTGTCATCGCCTTTTGGCGTGTCAATCTTAGGGATAGGGATACGTTCGAGGCTGTAAGTCTCGACCCATTCCTCAGAACCCGATTTTCATCCTCAGCCGCGTTTCGCCGGTCCTCTGGCCCGGCGAGGGCCCCTGGGGGCCGAACTTTGCGAAACACCTCCGCCTTGATTTTTTGTCAATGCGTTGGACCTCTGGGCCTGGTGGGGGAGCCCGCCCGTGCCGACCCGCGACGAGGGGCAGGCGTGGAGAGGCCCGTGCCGACCCGCGACGAGGGGCAGGGCCCGGCGTGGAGAGGCCGTGCCGACCCGCGACGAGGGGCAGGCGGCGCGAACGCCGGGAGCCCTGCGCGGCGCGCCTTGGTGGGGCGCCCACCCGTGCCCGTCAGGGCACGGCGAGGAGGCCGCGGCCTCGCAGCGTGCGGCAGGGCTCGACCTCCAGGGCAGGTTTGAAGACATAGGATGTTCAAGCATATAGGATTTTAAATGCATGATTAATTTATGACTAAACTAATGGATCAACTCATCCTTGTATTTATCAACCCTTCATTTTTACGACATGGTCCTCACGCGGAACATGTATTAAAACCGGCGCTGTACTGTGAGCGTCTTCTTTTTTGGGCGTTTCGACATTGAGCGAAGAGGGGGGGAGGGGGGGGGTCTGGCTCCGGACCTCTGCTGCGTGCGGCCGTTTGGAACCGTGAGCCCTATGGGGGAGGCATCCACCTGCTCGAAACAGGCGCCAACAGCCAAGATCTACTCCCGGGAGGGGAGGGAGGAGGGAGTAGGGGGGGCCCGCGCCGATCGGCAAAACAATGAATGAATTTTGATCACCTGGTGGGGAGCCCACCCGTGCCCGTCAGGGCACGGCGTGGAGGCCGTGGCCGCGCAGCGTGAGTCCGGGCTCCACCCAAGCTCAGGTCGGGCGTGCCCCCCCTACATTGTGCTAAGAAACATATGTTTTGCGTCCGTTCTGCCGTGCTGCCTTCGCCTCCCCTCGCCTCCCCTCCCCTCTGCCTTCGCCTCGCCTCCCCTCTGGGCCGACGGGCCCACGGCCCGCGGCACAGCCCCGGGGAGCGGCTTTCTGGGGGGCCGAGCCCCGACGTCGAGGTCTGCGCCGCCTGGGCGCGGCGCGCCAGCGACCCCCCCCCCGCAGGCAGCGTGAGTCAGGGCTCCGCCTGAGCAACGCTTGTTCTGCGTCCGCTCTGCCTTCGTCTCCCCTCTGCTGCGCGGACAACTTGCCGTCGCTCGGACGTCCATTTCCCGTGTATGTTTCGGTTTCGCGCGTGCTTTTTTTTGCTCGATGGTCCAGGATGGTCCTCGATGGTTCTCGCCGAGAAAACATGCACACGTCCGAGCGATGCCAAGACAACAGGCCAACGGCCCGCGGCACCGCCCCGGCGCGGCCTCTTGGGGGGGCCGAGCCACGACCACGACAGCCCGCGAGGGGGCTCCCGAAGCCGTGGCCCGCCCGCTGTCTTCGGCACTGCGGCAGGGGGGGGGGAAGTGCCCGACAAAATACCCCCGCACCCTTTGGGGGGGGGGGAACTGCCCGACGAAATTATCGGTGTTTGCGTACCCAAAGCATTTTCATTTGCGGAACTGCGCGCCCTGGCGCGAACGGCCGAACGAACCCTGCAGCGGGACGCTCTGGCAACACGGCGGCCGCCGCAAAAACCGTCGATTGAACGCTGGCACCGCGCAAAGGCCTATGGTAGGAGGGCCAGAAACACATTGACCAAGGCCGCGCCAACGGCGTGCTCGGTTGATGGTGCGGTTGGGCATCTAGTGTTTGTGACAGCGAGCCCGTGCAGAACAAATTATAGAAAATCGCGAAACATCGCTTCTTACATGTCAAAGATGCGAATGCGTCGAGCGAAACCGACATAGCGAGTTGTAGGACAACATGAACCACGCGTTCCTGCTAATGGTGTGGACACGAACCACGCCTTCCTACAGCTGGTTGTCCTACTTCGCTGTTAGCTGACACACCGTTAGGGCGTCTACAGCCTTTTGTGGGGGGCCTAGTTGGGAGGGCCAGAAACACATCAGAGATATGGGATCTTTCTGCAGCTGTATCAAAAGCAAACCGCCCAGAATCATGACAGCCGGCCCGTATCACAAGGATGCGCGACAGGAATGCAAGGGCCTTGGACGCCCATGTTGAAGCTTTTCGAGCGGGGCGCGGCCAACGAAAGTGGCCAAGGATGGGCCGCGGAGGCCAGGATGCAAGGGTATTCTCGGGAAGGTTACCCATCCTTGGGAAGACCAAAAGGTACCGATACCGCTACTCCTCGGACCTCTTCCGGGGTGCTTTCTGACCAGAATTTCAAGGCGAATCCAGCGGTGGCGACGATGGCCTCCCAGGATGCCCAAAAAAGGGGGAAACGGGGGCGAGGTAGAGGTATGGGCACCTGTTCCTCCCCTGAATCCGTGCTATACTATGCGTGTTGACTGCCTGCTGTTAGGCTTGGGGGTTCTTCTCTCCTCGCCGCGGGGCGGCCGCGCGAGGCGCGCGAGCCGAAGCGGCGGGGCGCCTGGACGCCGCTGCCGTCCTGCTCCGCCTCCTCCGCGTCTTCCTCCTGGCGCCGCGCTGGGCAGCCGAGTGCTCTCCTCCAGGGCTGAACCTAAGCGGTGTGTTTCGTTTTCGTTTTGTTTTCGTTGTCCCTCGTTTTGTCTTCGATTCGCCTCTGGCGCAAAACGAAATCGAAACGAAAACGGCCCACGAGATCGCCAAAACACCGTTTAGGTCCACCCCTGCTCTCCTCGGCCCCCGACTTCGGTCGCGTCGCAAGGGTCGGCGGCGAGTCCGGGGTGGATCTGCGAGGAGGAGCGGGCCTGCGCAGAAGGCTCGGACGTCCCAGGGCCTTCCGAAGAGTGCTCCGAGCCTTGCCCCGCAGACGCGGGAGAGCTTCTCGGAGGGCAGACCACTCCTCGGAAGGCGCGACGGTCTCTGAGAAGTCCCGGCGCCTGCCGAAAAGGCCTCCTCCTTCTCCCCCCCCCTCGCTCGCCGCCGAAGCTGGGGGGAGAATCGCATTTCTCGCAGGGACGCATTTATGTGAATGACCCGCGCTCACGGCGGTGACTGGCCCCGCCCCCCCTTTCCCCCCCCCCCATAGGAGGGTCACGTGCCGACTCGCGCGGGGGAGTCGCCACTCCCAGGCACTCCCAGGCGGCGCCAGTGCGAACCGTGGCGTGGCCGCGCCCGCGGTCGCCCAGAGGGGGTGAAGAGAGAGGCGGGCTGCAGCGGCTCGAGGCTGCAGGGCCCCGCATGATGCCCCGAAGCGCTAATTGGCCGTGGTGGTCTGCAGGGCAAAATGCAGTGCACCGGGGGGGGGAAGGCCGAGCACCGTCTCGTTGTGGAGGAATGCGAGGCTTCATCTCCGTCTCTCTCTCTCTCTCTCTCTCTCTGTCTTTCTCTTCTTTTTGTTGCTTCTCTCTCTCTCTCTCTCTTGGTCTCCCTGAAGCGGGCGTTTGCATCTTCTCGTCCCGCGGTGAGCTTTTGGAGTGGATGTTCCAGGTGCGCGGTCCCCAAATCGGGGAGACAACGCGTCTGGCACTCTGTTGAGAGCCATGGGGTTTAACATCCATGAGGCTTAATAGCCATGAGGCTTGACAACCATGAACCATGAGACTGACCCCAGGCCAGCATCATACACTGTGTGATGTTGGATGGCCGACAGCCGAGTGCATGTTCAGAGCATCTTGATCTCACTTGCCCTCTGGGCGGAGGTGGTTTATGCGCTCAATGTTCCAGCACCCTTTGTCCCCTAAGGCGTTACCACTGCTCCCCATTGATACTCCCCTCCCCTTACTCACCTGGCCGCCAACCAGGAACCATGCCCCCCACCATCACTGACAAAAAAAAATACAAAAAACAAGTCTGTGCGACCGTCCAAAAGAAACTTTCCACAAGAAGCCCAACCCTGAGACCCCAGGACGTCCATCAATGATGGGATTTTTGGTGTGGAAGCGCCACGCTTTCCATAGGAAAGCCTTCGAAACCAGGATGTTTCTTGGCATGGGTCCCCACTGTAGTCTGGATGATCAGTTCAACACGGCTGCAGCAGGTGGCGCACTTGGCGCACCCCCGGCACGCTCATGCCCCTGGGGCATCAGGAGCACCTGGCACTCATGGCGCACCTCGCACACCTGGCGTCAGAACTATGGGCTCCCAATCGACGTCCGTCCGATGGCGCTCTCTGCCTAGACTGAGTCTGGGATGTTGATTTCACGGTGGGAGGGCAAATGAAATTGAGCGAGACAGCTTGTGGTGTTCCCGCTGGTTTCGTCCTTCTTCCGATGGCTTTGAACAAAGGCCTGCAACAATTCTGCAAGATTCTTCAGGCCCCTGACGTCTGAGCGATGCCATGTTTGTTACTCCTGAACTCTGGCCGCGCCGACGTGAATAGAGGCCTCCTACGTTGGATCGGAGTAGGATGGGGTCGGAGGATCGCGCCTCATCGCCTATCGGTGGTGAATCGGCGATGCACCGGCCATGCATCGTCGACGCCGGCGACGCATCGGCGCCATCCGCGTGGAGAAACACGGGCCCCACATCGAGCCGCGTCGTCGATACATCGCCGATGCGGCGCGGTCCTCCGACCCCATCCACTCGGACCCCATGCGGGAGGCCTAGACTGATCAAGGATGGTCTGACCCGGGTCAATCCAGACCCGGGTCAGTCAGGCCTTGCAGAATCCTGCAAAATCCTGCATCCAAGCCCAGGTCAATGCGAAGGATCCTGCAGGATCCTGCACCCAAGCCCGAACCAATGCGACCCTGGCCGCGCAGGATCCTGCAAGATCCGGCGGTCTGGCTGACCCCCGTTTGCTTTGACCCCCGTCTCAAGGCTCCCGAACTTAGGGGAACGACAAATGGCATAAACATAAAAACTCGGAGGTCCGCGCGGATTTCTTGGATCCGCGCGGGACCCCCCTCCCTGGCGCGCGGAGCGCGCCAGGGGCGGCGCCGCCAGGGGACCTCAGCGCCGATCCGAGAAATCCGCGCGGACATCCGAGTTTTTGTGTTTATGTTACTCTTCTCGGGTCGGGCGAAAGGGGGGGATAGCACCCGTTGCTGATGTATCGAGGAATGGGCCCCTCGGTGAGGCCGAATCCAGCTGCACGCAGCAAATTTCGTGACCCCCCCTTTCCCAATCCCCCCCTTTCGTCCGGCCCGAGCGGCTTTTTGGGGCCGCGGGGGGACCAAGCCTGGGCGCGCCAGCCGCTGCTCCTGCGTCGCTCTTGGCCATCCAAGGTCACTCTCACGTCTAGTCGAGCAGATATCGGGAGCGGCCAAGAGGGGGGTGTCCAAGAGGGGGGGTGCAAATCATGACCGGCGGCATGTGCGCGGCCCAGCGGGGGGGCCAGGGACGTAATGAAACAAGAAGAGGCGCCATGAGATCTGGGGAAAAATCATGGCCCCCGCCATGATATCCACCCCCCCCTAGTCATCACCCCCCTCTTTGCCGCCCCCGAAGGTACGGGGAAACCAACTGGTACCAACACCGGTACTGCCATGGACCTCACCCTGGGGTGTGCCCCCCACCCGTTGTTATGTTTACGTCATCCCTCGTTCCCCTTGCGAAGACGCAAAACACTTCTCAGAAGGGCGGAGGGCTTCTGAGAAGCCCCGCCGCCCTCTGAGAAGGCCCCCTCCTCACTGCCCCCCCCCTCTCGCTCGCCGCCGAGAAGCCGAGAAAGGGTAGACGCCTCCAAAGGCCCCAAATTTAGAAAGTCAAGGCGTCGGGTGTCTGGGGCGCTCCCTGCGCAGTCTGAGCTGGGGCCCACCCCGCGAAGGAGGGTTTCTCCGAAGGGCTTAGGCGACCCGTGCTCCTCCTCATCCTCCTCCTGCTCCTGCTCTTCCTCCTCCTCCTCCTCCTCCTCCTTCTCCTCCTCCTCCTCCTGCTCCTCCTCCTTCTCCTCCTCCTCCTCCTCCTCCTCCTCATCCTCCGCTTCCTCCCCCCACTCCGAGCCCTTTCGATCAGGGTCGGCGGCACCGGCCGTCAGGCCTCTCCAATCACCCCCGAGAGCTGAGGCCCCCCACCCGGCCCGCGGGCGCCTCCTGCCACCCGGCCAGCGCCTGCCGGCCCCCGGGGGCCGTCTGGCGCTTCGCGAGCCGGGCCTTCAGGAGCGAGACCTGTGGGGGGGGGGCGCGCACAGGTCGGCGGCGAGCCCGCGGGGGAGGGGGAGGAGGAGGAGGAGGAGGAGGAGGAGGAGGAGGAGGAGGAGGAGGAGGAGGAGGAGGAGGAGGAGGAGGAGGAGGAGGAGGCGGAGGGGGGGGAGGAGGAGGAGGAGGAGGAGGAATAGGCGGCGGCGGATCGATATCGCGTCGAAAGTTCCAGCTATGCAGCAACTAACACATCGCGAGGGGAGAAGTCGGCGACGAGCGACCTATCGTGCGCTGCACACAGCGATTTATGAAAGTGCCAACTCCCCTAGTGGGAGCCCCGAATTGTCGTCGCTCGACCTCGGGCCGAAAAAACAAACTGCTCTGCCTTCCCAAAGGTGTGGCATCCTCCATTGGTGGTCCCTCAGTCGCCGCGTAGCAACGGGGCGCCGCAGGACGGCCCACAAGGCGGGGAAGTCGGGGTGCCTGCCTAGACGTCATAGACGTCCCTGCAGGGGCCGCGGGGTGACTGCTGGGAGCCCATACGGCCCATCCCAACGAGAGAGCATCGTCCTCCCCGACCCCCCTTTGGCCGCGCATCGGTACACACGGGTAGCAAGATGCCCTCTTCATCCTGCTCCATGTATTCTGGCATGTGTGGGTGCGTCACAGATCGAGCTCGTCGAGCGTGAGCTGCAGCACCCGTTCGTTGTGCGACCTGGGCGCCATGCCCTCTTTGACTTCAGCCCCGAGCTGCTCCACGCGCGCGAGAAAGACGCTCGTCATGTTGGGATCCCCGAGCGCGAAGACCATCTTCGCGGAGAAGGCGCTCGAGATCCTGAACCCCTTGATCAGCAGCGCCAGCTCTCTCATGTTGCTGCAGCTGTCGAGGCGTTTTGGGACCTCGACCCAGGCGTTCGCGTTCTTCATTCCGACTGAGTCACCAAGTTCTGTCACCTTCCGCGCTACCACCAGGAATATCTGCACGCACGCTGGGCCCATTTGCTTCTCTGGCAAGGGGTTGCCGCTGTCCACCAGGTGTGCCTCCCTCATCTTGGCAGCCTTGGCAGCACAGGCCCTGCCGGCCTGGTGCGCGGCCTTCACGAGCGCACTGCCCTCGTCCATCGGCTCCGTCCCGAACGCCGCAGCCAGCAGCATTCGAATACTGTGCGAGCTGCCCAGCACATGCTCTCACCAGGATCGGCACGAGGCGCGCTGCCATCTGCGAGTCCATCGCCGGGAGGCGCTCCAGAGCGTCCGCTGGCAGCCCGTGCGAGCGGCCGACTGCCGTCTGGAGCGCCGCCTGGCCGCCTCCTCCTCCTCCTCCTCCTTCTCCTCCTCCTCCTCCTCCTCCTCCTCCTCCTCCCTCCTCCCTCCTCCCCCTCCTCCCTCCTCCCTCCCCCTCCCCCTCCCTCCTCCTCCTCCTCCTCCTCCTCCTCCTCCTCCTCCTCCTCCCTCCTCCTCCTCCTCCCAAGAGGCTGTGTTTTTCCCGGCGGAGCCGGGTGAACTTACGTGCCCGCCGGTGACTGACTGATTGACTGACTGATTGACTGACTGATTGACTGACTGAACGTCAGGAGGGCACCTTGAACAACACATTTCAAACTGCCTGCGGGCGTGCAACCGCAACTGGGCGACACATTTCGACCCGCCCGCGGGCGCGCAACCGCAACCGCAACTGGGCGACACATTTCAACCCGCCCGCGGGCGCGCAACCGCAACCGCACCTGGGCGACACATTTCAACCCGCCCGCGGGCGCGCAACCGCAACCGCACCAGGAGGAGGGGGAGGAGGAGGAGGAGGAGGAGGAGGAGAAGGAGGAGGAGGAGGAGGAGGAGGAGGAGGAGGAGGAGGGAGGATCCTCCGACCCACTGTCGGCCTCCAGGCACGTCGATCTGTAGAATCCCCCCATGGGAGCCCGATAACGAAGCCTCGACCCCCCCTCTGGACCGATGCGGGCCGGGCACCACAAACCAGGAGCAGAACATGGCGCCCCAAAGTGCACCCAGGAGGCCCCGAAATCGCGCCGACGGGCCCCCCAAAACGAGCCCCAGGCGCCGTCAAAACTGTTTTCAAGAGGCCCTGCACACGCACACGCACACACACACACACACACTCACTCACTCACACACACACACACACACACACACGCACGCACGCACACACACACACAGACACACACACACACACACACACACGCACGCACGCACGCACGCACGCACGCACACACACACACACACACACACACGCACGCACGCACGCACACACACACACACACTCACACACATACACACACACACACGCACACACAAATACAAGGGGTCGGCGGATGGGGCGCAAGCCAATAAAATCATACACGTTGTCAATACTTCGAACATGTACTCACGAGCAGAACCGCATTCGCGAGCGGACACCAACGACACGGGGCGAAATCTCACATGTTCCATCACCCTCTCGCATGACTTCGAACAGCAGAAGACACTGGCAACGCCAGAAATCAACACTGAAGCGCCGCTCGCACGCCTCACTTCTGAGGTCCGCGATGGCCTTTTCGTATTGGCTCACGTGGGCGTCCTGCCGTCATCAAATTAAGGGGAACACGGGTGAAGAGGGCTACACGACCCTGGGAATGAGGGAGGGTGGGGAGGGTAAATATTGGAGAGGGCGAACATCTAAGCCAGAGGGAGAATGCGGTACGGCAAAACCTGGAACATTAACATGCAACTCATCAATCCTCCTCCCTGGGCTGACCCACAACATCCATCTGCAAGGCTGCACTGGGAGCCGTGTGAACACCAATTGTGGTGTTGCGGTCTGGAAGGCCTCTGAGGTCAACAATGAGGCATCGAACCAATGGGCACGTTTGTCAACCACGTTACATGACTCGAACGACCGAAAATGGCCCCTGCGACGTGCGAATCTTACTATTACGGTAGGACCACGGAACAATCAAGATAGTATCCCCTCTCCGCTTCCCCAGGGGACAATGTCGAACTGGCGTATCATGGTAATGACTGACCCCTTGTTCGTCCTCGTTTTACCTTGACGCGCCTACTAACGTATATATAATCACAGCAATGTGATTGTACGGTGTGAGGAAGTGGCAATGCAGAGCATTATGTATCCTCTCAACGCGTGGCGGAAGGCACCCACAATGGAAACATCAGCCACCTTGAATGCACGGTGTGGGCGTGTTTGAGTGCCATTGTGCTGTCTGGTAGGGTTCCTGTAAGACTTCAATGTCCCCATCCCCCCCTCGACGCACTTCCCTACATGCACCGCTCCCCTCCTACCATCCCGAGGCTGCCTGAGCAGTCCGACGCCTCCCCGGGGCTCTCCAACGAACTCGAAGGCTTCATAGGCGACCCATGAAGGCCACTAAGGCCCAAGGCCGCCAAGATGATTCATCATTTCCTCAAGAGGCACCCAGCAGTCAACGAAAAGACCCCAGGAAGCGCCGATGGAACCCACAAAAACTTCCAAGGGATCAGAGTGAAAGCCTAGAGGCCCTCCAGGACTGCCAACTTATTCGACAACAGACGGACGTCATCTGCAACTGAAGATGGTGGACTTGCGGCGCCTCTGGTCTCAAAATGCGATTTCGCTGGAGAGGTGCGCATAGTGTACGCCGACTGCTCGAGTGAACTCCGCCGACGACATGCAAGAAGCTTTACATCTAAGTGTATTGACAACGCTAGAGACACTACTGCGTCAACACGGGGGGAATAGAGAGAGAGAGAGAAACAGAAAATGAGAGAGAGAGAGAGATATAGAGATAGAGAGGTGAAGAGAGACCAGTGCAGTGAACGCGGTGAGAGCGAACGCAGAGTGGAACTCCGACGAGAGGCCTGCGACAGCTGGGGATAGGATGCCCAGACGGGGACTCGAGAGCATCTTTCCAGACCAGAGAGAGAGAGAGAGAGAGGGAGACCGTGCCGACACTGCACTCACGCGTGGCCCCAGACAGCAAGCGTGGACGCGCTCTTGCTGGGAGAAGGGGAAGAGGAGGAGGAGTAAGGGGAGGAGGGGAAGGAGGAGGGGGAAGAGGGGGGGAAGGAGGATGGGGGAAGTGGGGGAGGAGGAGGAGAGGAGATGTGGGGAGGAGGAGGAGGAAGAGGAGGAGGAGGAGGAGGAGGAAGGAGGAGTGGGGAGGAAGAGGCGAAGGAGGAGGAGGAGGAGCAGGAGGAGGAGGGGGGAAAGGGGAGGAGGAGGAAAAGGAGGTGGACGCACACTTGAAGGGCGGAGGAGGAGGAGGCGGAGGAGGAGGAGGAGGGGGAGGAGGAGGAAGGGGGGGAGGAAGGGGAGGAGAAGGAGGAGGAGGCGGCGTCTCCGGCTCGACGATGTTCTGCTGAGCGCTCACCCTGATGTTCTTGGCGCGATTCGCATACTTCAGCGTGTTCAGGGTGTCCTGGGAATTCGAGCCGATCAGGCGCCCAACGAGAAAAGGCAACCAACGATGATGAAACAAACATTGGCTGGCCAACCAGGGTCGGAATCGCACCGGGATGCGACATATTCCAAATTCACTAATCAAGCGGTGGGGTCAACCGAATGCAGGTGGAGCTAGCCCATGCTAGTGCAATAGGAATGAACAACTCCCACGCGCCTGCAACTCCGCACCACGCGCGCGGGCTCAACCACTTCGGTTTACCCGCGCACTCGATATGGGGGGGAAGTGGACTCGGTGGAAGAATACATGGGTCCTCCAACGAGACAAAAGGTGCATTTGCATCAAACCAAAGGATGTGACGCCAATCTGCGTCACGTCTCTCCACAAGCCACTAGAAACGTTCGGCCTGTTGTCGGCAGCAGGGGCATGATTCTCTCTACCCACGCAGAGCGGAGATGCAAATCCTCGTAGCTCACGTGGTTCGGAGACACGTTCGCCACCATGACTGTCCTGATGTTTGGGAAATGTATTGAACGAGCAAGGGGGTACATCGACTGCTGGAGGTAGCGGTAACACCACATGCTGAGAACATGCTAGAGCGGAGGATGAATACCACGACGCCAAGAGAACATATAACCATGATGGGCGAGGAAGATGCGCCGAGGGTATTTAAAAGGGGATGTTGGGATCCCAACTTGCGACTCCCAACTGCCAGGGGCGTTCCTCAGGAGGGCGTTCAAGAGGGGGGTTCGCAAGTCGTGCCCCGAGGAACGTGTGCGGACGAGCTGGTGGGCCAGGGGAGGAGCGTTGAAATAACAGGAAGGGGCCATGAACTCCAGAGAGTTACCATGGCCCTGCCATGCGATCCATGCCACCCTGGTCATCACCCCCCTGGGGCCTGTTGTATATCCGCCTGGGGCGCCGCCAGGACAGCCGATTCTGGCTCCGAGACGCTGCAGCCAAACGTTGCGTTGCACATCCACGGGCCCCCTTACAAGGCCACCAAGCTGTGCGGGCCAGCCATTTGGCAACTTCACGATTTCGCAGCTGCTGGGCAAAAGACAAACCGACTAAGGAGCGGTCCTGCTCCAACTAATCGAACAGTTCAAATCATCAGCTGGACAACCGACTCGAATTCACAACACCTGCAAACCCGCACAACGCCCAACGCCCGAACGATCATTCCTACCTTCTCCACATTATGTGCGCTCAACGTTTGGGCACCCTGGAACACGCAAACGGCTGAGGTTTCGGCGTCTCCCTGGGCGACACCCCTTGCAAAGTTCGAGACTTTTCTCGCGGAGCACAATCAATGACAATACATCTGACGGTGCGGAATGCAACTGCTGCGGGCGCGATACGTAGACTTGTTTGTTATCTACTAGGCACAGCCGGTGGAATGCGACCTGTTTGGGTGCAAACTGCACGGCACCACCTGATAGGCTCAGGTCGGGCATGTCCCCCTACAGGCGGATGTTGGACGAATAATAAAACAAAATCGAAAACACCGAAAACAGCCAAACAAATAATCGAAACATCGTCACCAGACTATCTTTTACTATTTTTGAATACTCCTGCCGTATTTGGACGCCCGAAATGGGCACGGGAAGACTGAGCACAATGCCAAACAACAAATGTTGTCCACACCAACAGCGGCCACTGTTGGGCAGGCGGCCTTCTGTCTCAAATGGGCACAGGCCGCGGCGGCGCGGACAGCGAGGCCTGTTCAAAATGAACAGGAACTGCTGTTGGGCATTGTACCCACTCTTTCCGTACGGCAGGTTCGTGTCGTGCCGACCCCAGCGTTGGTTTTTGACACCGCAGGGATCGTTCAACCTTGAACGATCAGCCGCTGCCGCACCGTCCGATCGTTCAACATCGATCGATTCTGGGTCGCCGGCGGCGTTCAACCTTGAACGCCCGCGCTGGGGTCGCCGCTGGTCGACACGACGCAAACCTACCGTACCCGTTCGTTCGTGCCGATGAATGCTCCTCCTTTGGAGGGACAGGCCCGACTTCATGCTGGGCAGCACCATGCCTGGTGACGCTTGGCGTCACGGCCGCCCCCGTCGGCGGGCACCGAGGGAGGCTGCCCGCCGAGGCGGCCATCGCCATCCACTGCAACCCCGAGGTGGGCGCAGGCTCGACTCAGGTCGGGCAGGTCCCCCCACAGGCAGATTTTTTGGCGAAAAAATGGAAGATAGCCAAAACAGATTCAAAGAATGCTCAAAAAGACTAGACAGATCGTCCCCGCACTACTCTTTTATTATTTTTGAATACTCCTTCTGTAGAGGACGCGTCCGATTTAAGGCTCGACCGAGGCAGGGAACCTGGCAGCAGAAAAACGCAGCAGGGCGCAGGCCGGGGCGGGCTCCTCCCCCTTCCGCCTCCTCCTCCTGATCCTCCTCCTCCTCCTCTTCCTCTTCCTCTTCCTCCTCCTCCTCCTCCTCCTCCCCTTCCTCCCCTTCCTCCTCCTCCTGCTCCTCCTCCTCCTCCTCCTCCTCCTCCTCCTCCTCTTCCTCCCACTCTTCCTCCTCCTCCTCCTTCGCGGGCACGGTGCGGCCCACATCCAGGGGGGGGCGCACACGCGCACGCACGCGTCTTGTAGCAACACACGTGTCGAACCCGCATGCTTCGGAAAATCCGTGCCACGAACCGTTGCTTGGGCCGCGAGGGAAGCAGGCGGGACTGCTATGCCAGATGCAACCGTCCAGGGACATGTGCCGCCGCGTGCGAAGAATAAGTGCACACGTGTGAGACATTAGGTACGAAGTGCAAGCAGCAGTACCTTGAACGTCCTTGATCGCGACAGCTTGCAAATTAAGCGGCCGCATTGCTTAACCGCATCGACTAACAGACTGTCTCGCCACCTTCACAAACAACACACCGCATAACCGCCTCAACAGCCAGAACATGGCGCGATCAATAATACGCAATGCAACTGCCGAATCATCATTGCCTTCCTGCAGCGCGCGCACACTCGTATGCCCGCACACACATGCACAATTTCGCACACACGCACACGCACACTTACTTACTTACTTACGTACTTACTTTCTTACTGACTTACTTACTTACTGACTTACTTACTTACTACACACACACACACACTTACACACACCCACTCGCGCGCATCTACTCCGTGGGTAAAGGTCTCAACCTTGGTCTCATGTCTCGGTAGCAAACAATCCAAGGATTCTGGGAAATCGCTGAAAATCCAAGGGGCGGCACAGCAGAAGGGAAAATGCAAACGGCAATGCGGGCGAACAAATGCTCCCGTGAACCCCTGGCAAAGAGTGACCATGCTCTACCACCTCCTCTTCCACCTCCGCATCATCCCCCTCCAGTAGTCGCATAAACTCATGTGAGGCATATGTGCTATTTGCGTAACGTTCCATTGTCACTCTGATGGGAAAGACTGGTTCCATGAAATCAATGACTCGAATTCTGGATTCTGAAGCCATCGTGCACTACGACATCTGAGTTTCGGCGCTCCGGCGCCCCCGCCGAGCTATTAGAGGACCGACCCCCCCTCCCCCCCTGCCTTGCCTTGCCTTGCCTTGCCTTGCCTTGCCTTGCCTTGCCTTGCCTTGCCTTGCCTCCAGCCCGTCGGCTCCTCTCACGAGGCCCTGGACTCCGGAAGCACCAGCTCCGGGCCTCTGGGAACGACAGGCGCCCTGGCTGCCCCTGGGACTGGAGCCCAGGCGGCACCAGCGCCAGCTCTGGACGATCGCAGGACGAGGACGATGTCATCACCAGGTTGGCTCAAGATACGTTCCGAGATTTGCAGACTTCCCAGCGGCCCTCGTTTCTGCGACCAGTGCGAGACATGAGAAACTCCTGGAACGCATCATGATCATGACCTCGCGCTTGTCCCGATCAGCCAACAAAGCTGGGGCCCGCTCCACATTAATATGTGTGTACATGTACGTGTGTATGTGTGTGTCTTGGTCAGTGTCTGCGTGTACGTGGAAATGTATGTGTGTGTGTGCGAGTGTGTATGTGTGAGTGTGCATGTTGCGTGTTGAGTGTTGTGTGTGTGCGTGTACTTGCGTGCGTGTCTGCGTGTGTTCTGTGTGTGCGTGTCTGTGTATGGAAGTGTCATTGTCTTTGTTTGTGTGTTTGCATGTGTGATTGTGTTTGTGCTTGTCATAGTGCTTGTGTTTGCGTTTGTGTGCTTGTGCTCTGCTTGTGTATGTGTTTGCGGTTGTGGTTGTGTGGGTTTGTGTTGGTGTTTGTGAGTGTTCGTGTGTATGTGGTGGGGGGGCAGTCTGGGCAGCTCGTGCCCAGGGGCTCAGAGAGGTGGGGGCGCGTCACGAATTCACGAGTATCCGTCCGCACCTTCGCGGTCTGAATTCCAGGGCGCGATCCCGCGGATGCAAGGTCGTACGGATACGCTCCGCGCGGGGCATCCACGAACAAAAAGCCTCGTACCTGCACAAGCGGCAAGGTTAGGTTATCCTGGGGGAGGGGGGGGAGGGGGGGCAAGCCCGATGACCCGGGCTGATCGCCCGACCCTAAAACAAAAACAGCCTCCAACGCTTCTCGCGCTGGCCCTGGCCGAGGCCTGGCCTCGGAAGGCGGTCCAGGAATCCGGCCCGCGAGGCCGCAGATGCGGACACGGTCCTCGCCCACGGACGGTGGTGCGGGTCGCAGGCCTCGGTGGCTAGTCGTGCTGGGGTTTCACAAACCCTGGCCATCGCTCGGACGTCCATTTCCTGTTTTTGTTTCGGTTTCGTGCGTGGCTTTTTCGCCAAATGATCAAGGATGCTCCTCGATGGTCCTCGCCGAAAAAAAATGTACACGTCCGAGCGATGCCAAGAGCCAATCGTGCTTGGCATGTGCGCGGCTACTGGCATTCGGTCGTCCATCCGTGGACGCCCATCTCGGCGCCACGTCTGTGACAGTGTGCCTCGAAATGAAAAATACAGTCGGAGCGTTGACCCAAGGAACCCTAAATAAGGAACGAGGCCCCTTTACCCCACAAGTTGAACTTCGATTTCCCGTCGAAGTCGAAAGGAAAACCCAAGGCAAACTGTGAAGCAATCAAGGAACACGGAGCCCCTTCCCAACGAAAAGGGTTCCTTCTTCAGGGCCCCGACTGTATGCGATCAGATGCCTGGCGACGAACTCGCGGCTAACCTGTGTGGCTTGCGTCTCCCTCTCGCACGCAGGACAGTGCGCCTTTCGGCTGCCCCGAGTAGCCACACGCAGGAGCGGACTTTCTCTGCCTCGCCGCCGAAGAAACAGAAAGGCTCTTGCGTCGTCGTCGTCGTTCTCGCTTTCCGGGAGAAGTTGGCTGGCAACGCCAAATTCGACATGGAGTTGTCTGTGTCTGGCCTCGCCAGGCTTGAGCAGCCTGCACGGTTTCCCCTGGGGGCGCAGGCGACCCGATGAAGAGGAGAAGGAGGAGGAGGAGGAGACGAAGGAGGAGGAGGAGGAGGAGGAGGAGGAGGAGGAGGAGGAGGAGGAGGAGGAGGAGGGAGGAGGGAGGAGGAGAAGAGGAGGAGGGGAGAAGCAGGAGGAGGAGGAGGAAGAGGAGGACGAGGGGGAGGGGATGGAGGAGCGAGGAGAAGGAGGGGTCTCCTAAGCCCTTTGGAGAAACCCTCCACTCTACACGGCCCGCGCCAGGAGGTGCTGTCGAGGCACGGCCAGGCTCCTCAGGCCGACCCAAACCAATCGTGGCGGGCGGATGTTGCAGAAGAGAGCGAACGAGGCTTGGCGGACTCCTGCAGTTGCCACCAAGTGAATCCTTCAGCAGTCTGGTGAGCTTCGAGTCACGGTAGGGCACGAAGGCCGAACCGATGCAGGGAAGGGAAGCTGAGGAGAAGCAATGAGAGCCCGCAAGGCAGGGATGGGGAGCCTGAGCATTGCCACTGGCACGTGGCTATCTTCCTCGAGTTTGGCACAATGTTCAGGCACAATGGTCCATTTGTCACGGCGCTATCGACTTCGCCTAAGCCTCCTGAGCAAGCAAGACCGCACCTTGCTCCTGGAGCCTTCGTCGACTTCGAGCAGACCAGTAGGTGAAGGAGCAAAGACGCAGACTAGCAAAAGAAGGACCGCAACATATAACAAGTGGCCTCGATCCATCGGTTCCCGAATCACTGCTTGCTTGGGCACTCCCGCGCGAATGTCGCAGGAATTTGGCGACTGTCCCAGGCCGCCTCCCAAACTCCGAGGCTCCAAAATTCTTAGCATTTCCCCAATCAATGCTTGCACTGAAGGGGTCCTAGCGGATATTGAAAACTTTGGCGAAAATTTCCACCGATTTTGGTGGCTGGCTGGGTTCCCGGGTTCCCGGTTCCGGGTTCACGGGGTTCCTGGTTATTGGCTCCGTTCCGATGTCGGTGGGTCCCGGGCTCCCGGGTCCCCGGTCGATCTCCTTATCGATCTCTTCATCGATCCCACGATTCATGAAACCATCCTTTGATTGGAGCTTTTCTCCGGTGTTATGTAAAACCCAGAGATCTCATGTATTGAAACATCAAAATAGATAATGCCCGCGCCTTCTAAGAGGCAGGGGTCCTTCTAAGAAGCCCTCCCCCCTGCCCCCACCCCCCTCTGCACGTGGCACTTTCCCCCGTCCAGGGAGCCCATAATCAAGGTGAAGGAGGGGGGGGGCCGTCCCTAGGCTCCTCGACGCATCCCTGGCGTCTCTGGAGCTCACATGTTCTCATGGCCTCCAAGAGGCACCCAAGACGGTCCAAGATTGCTCCGAGTCGCCGAACCATCACTCCAAGACGCCGTACGTGGCCTCCAGACGGCCCAAGACGCCTTCAAGACCCCCAGGAGGCCTCGAAGACCACGACAGGAAGGGCCCCGAAAAGCAACAGTCATGCCTTTTCCAAGGTTTTCAAAAGATGGTGTGCGTTGTCGCACTGTCGGCTTCCCGACGCTCCCAGACAGCCTACGAGGCCCAGCACGGCCCAAGAGGCCTCCAAGAGGGCCCCCAAACAACCCAAGAAACCTCCAAGACGGCCCCAGGAGCCCTCAAGACGGCCCATGACAGCACGAAGAGGCGCCAACGAAGGGGAATACGAACTACATTTCAAGCTTTTCCCCCGAAATTGGCCCCAAGAGCCCACCAGAGGCCCCCGAGGACCCCAAGGACGATCCAAGAGATCTCCGATAGGCTCCCCAGAGGCTCCCAAGAGGTCCCAAAAAGCCCCCAGATGCCCCCAAGACCCCTCCAAGAGGCTCCTCCATGAGACCCTCCCAACACATGATCGACCCACGAACCCGGAAAAAGATCTGGAACAGCGAGGAATGGAACGCTTCCAAGCACCTCAGTTGGGCGATGAGCAGCGGCAATGCTGAAGATATCATTGGTGATGACGCTGTGCTAGGGGCTGTGTCGTACTGCCCTGCGCTGTGCCGCGCCACGCAGTGGCGTGCACGGGGACGCGCTACTGAACGCCAGTGGACGTACCAGGGGACGTGCCAACGCGCCGCCCGATGTGCCAGGGGAACGCGCCACGGGACGTACCACAGAACGTGCCAGGGGGGACGCGCCACGGAACGTGCCAGCGGACGTGCCAGCGGACGTGCCAGGGGACGTACCAGGGGACGCGCCAGGGAAAGTGCCGGGTATCAACGGTGATGCTACTGTGCCAGGGGCTGTGCTGTGCTTCTCCGCGCTGTGCCGCGCCGCGCAGTGACATGCCAAGGGACGCAACACGGGACGCGCCAATGGACGTCCCAGAGGACGTGCCAGGGGACTCGCCGCGCGATGTGCCAAGGGGACGCGCCACGGGACGTGCCAGGGGGAACGCGCCACGGAACGTGCCAGCGGACGTGCCAGCGGACGTGCCAGGGGACGTACCAGGGGACGTGCCAGGGAACGCGTCGCGCGACGTGCCCAGGGGAGGCGCCAGGGAACGTTCCAGGTATCATTGATGATGCTACTGTGCCAGAGGCTGTGTTGTGCTCCTCTGCGCTGTGCCGCGCGCCCGCGCTCCCAGGGCCAGGATCCCTCATCGATCACGCCGCGCCCGTGCAGGGCCAGGATCCCTCGTAAAGTGCTCGGCATCCGCGCTCCCCAGGGCCACGCCCCTGGGGCGCCCGGGCCTCTCGAGTGCTGCAAAAGAAGCGTTTCGCCCGAGACGTCCCCATAGATTCGGCCCCGCAGGGTGCGCCCTCCTCGAGCAGACACGCAAAAAAACATACCTTCCTTCTGCACTACTAGCGCGGGGCTCGAGACATCCTCGGAACTCATGCGCGCGGGACGCGCCGTCCTCGAGCGGGCACGCAACAAGTCAACTTTTGAATGACTGCTGTAAAGTTTTAGGGCCTCCATACCTCGTGTTGTATCGTGGATTCCGCGCAAAACACTCCGCACCAAGTTTTTCACGAGGGCAGACGTGTGTCTGCGGACCCTGGTATTGATCGAGGGTCCGAGATAGGGGCACATTCGCCAGGACGCATTTTACCATCAAAAACAGAGCCTTCACGTTGTCATCTATTGAAAGTAATTCCGCCCATCCTCCTCAAGTCGCCCCTCGGGGTAAAGCCAACAAAAAAAGAATCCTGGGCTGGCGCCCTTTCCAGGAAAAAAAATCGAAGCCACAATCCGCGCATGGTGACTGGTTTGGCCGAACACCGCAAGAGAACTTCCATTCTTCACAAGCTCTCACTCCTTCAGCAGGCTGGCAGAATGGTGTCAACTGTGATTGCAAGTTCCTGGGATCACATAGCATTGCTTCACACTTGGACGCAGGGAGGTATTACGATCACACTAGTATTACCACGAAGCGGTACTCGCTTCAAGGTGGCAGAATCAGCGAGCGCTGAATCCAACTGGCGCACTCCAGAAGAACATTGCGCCGCTTCTCGGAAATCATCGGACGACCGTTTGAAAAGATGTTGATGGCTCTGCCCTCGGACACATTTTGTCAAATAACTCTACTACACTCATGCCACCCTTCATGGAGACTGTTACGGCAGGACGCCACGACCAAACGATAAAGCACCTGCTGCCCAGACTCCTAAGCCACACCATCAATGTGCAGTTCACCTGAGCAGAATGGAAACGCTACGAGCGCATCGCGACTGCACATACAGCCTTCCAATTGTTTTTCACTAGAGGGGCTTCCAGACATCGGAAAACGCTGGGATGCATCTGCCACAACCAGAAGCCGCGGCATTCGGCTCGAAAGATCGGGGAGCGTGCTCCACACAGAATTTTGGGCTGAGGGCTCACGCCGCACTGCGGTAGGTCGGCGCGGCGTCGACGCGCAGAAAGGTGTTTGTCACAGCGTCAATCGTTCAACCCTGAATCGATCGCAACCCAGCTGAATTCCGTCGCGTACTGTGGCGCTACCCTGCCTCCCGGTGCTTCCGCGTCGCTCTGTCATGTGGAATACAACCTCGAACGCCTTCGCCGGCGTCGCTGGCGCGCCACCGCCGCATGACTCTACCGTATGCGCACTCAGAAATCGCGATCGGGAATGATTCCCCAAGAAAGGGTCCTAACCCTTTGGGAGGGGACCTAATTTAGGAGGGCCAGGGACAGTAGGGACAGGGGGTCTTTTCTGCAAATGTATTGAACCACACCGCCCAAACTTATTACCCCCAATTCGAGGACGGGGCCCAAAAAGAGGCCACGTAACACAGGGCTAGGATCGGGATAAATCGCTCCAGAGCGTTCCAGAGCGCTCTCAGAGCGTTCCGGAACGCTCTGGAGCGGCCGCGGCGCCCAACACATCCTCCAAACCCGCCGATTCTCAGAGATTTCGAATTATCCCGATCCGATTTTGTCCCGATCTTCGCGTCGTTTGACCACGTCTTGATCTTGTTCGCAGGCTTAGGGTTTCTTGTGTTCTCGATGACAGAAGGGTACGCAGCCCAGAGTCCGGCCCCAGCGGAGCAGGAGCCAGATGCGAGGGCGCTGATGCAGTTGCCGAGGGCCAGCAGGGAGCGGTTGATGTTGGCGCCCTGCACGGCGGGGGGGGCACGGACCTGCGACCGCAATTCACTAGCGGTGCCCTCGTCATGGGGCGTCCTTGAATGCACCTCCCCATCATACAGCGGAGGCTTGTCCGCAAGGAACCCTCCACAAGAAGCCCAACCCTGAGACCCCAGGACGTCCATCGATGCTTGGTGTGGGAACGCAACGCTCTCCGTGGCAGGAAACCTAGGGCACCCTGGAGGTAAGCAGGGTGCTTCTTGGCATGGGTCTCCACGGCAAGCACCGATCGCACCCTGTCCTGGTGAGCGTTTTTGTATTCGGCGTTTCGACATTGGGCGGAAGGGGGGGAATCTGGCTCTGGACCTCTGATTACTGCGACTGTTTGCAACCGTGCGTCCTATGGGGGAGGGACTCCCCCTGCCTGAAACAGACGCCTAAAAGAGCCAAGATCTACTCCAGGGGGGGGGGGGGGGCGAGGGCCCGCGCCGATCGGCAAAACAACGCAAACAAAACCGACCACCTGTGGCAAACAATATGCCGCTGATCCATCCGGCACGTGCGCGCTTCATGCTGTCGTGCCGCCTGCCTGGGTGCCTGCAGCTCCGGGGGCGACAGGCGCACGAGAACCTCACTCCTACTTTTAGGTTGGGCGTGTCCTCCTACAGGCGGATCTTGAACGACAAAGTAAATATACACCAGAAATGCCCCAAAATGCTCAAAAATGGTCGAAACACCCTGCCCATACTATTGCTTTAAAATATTTTTGAATATTCCTCCTGTAGAGACCAGGCCCGACGTAATCCTACTTCGAGAGCACGCTCCTCCGAGCAGCACCCGACTATTCACGCGCATCGCCACCCCTGGCTCCCACGCGGCGCCTTCGACGGCCGAGGGGCACCAGCCCTGGCGTCCCCGAAGACGTGCAGCACGCACAGGAAGCAACGGGACCCAGCAGTGGCGCCATGACGACCCAAAGAAAGCTGCCGGGCGCCCCAGGGCCATCCGCGGGCGGCCAAACACCCTCCCAATCCTGCATCTCTCTCCACGATGCCCGACCTGGACAAAAAGGAAGCTGCGCGTGCGTGGTCTCCGAAGGGGGCGGCCACACGCGGGCCCAGGCGGTGGCGCCGGGTGCCGGCAAGATGCCCCAAGAGGTGCACATAACCCTCCAAGCGACGCCCGAAGAGGCCTCTGGCGAGGCCCCAAGAGGCGAAACAAACTGAACAAGCTTCGGCGAGCTTCATCTAGCATCGCTTTGACGAGTGTCTCCCTGCGCGGCTTCACCCTGCTTTCCACAATCCTTCTCACGCCAACCTCTTGCGGACCATATCCAGATGGGCTGGTGGGGACGCGCGAAGCGTCCAGGATCAGTCATGCCTGCATGTTCGCATGCTGCCTCGGATGTTCGAGGGGCCCTCATGACCCACTCCATCCAAACCTTGCGCTCCTGTTGTAAGCTCGGCTAATGCTGAGCAACCTGGCAACCCAGGCACTACTTTCAGCGGCGGCATCTGTGGGGACAACTCGCACGCACCAACCGCCTGACCCTATCTCGGGCGTTGCTCAACGGGGAGCGATGAATCGGGGAGGTGCAAAACCGTGAACCTTCCGTGCTCCTTTTGGGTCCCAGGGAACTCCATGTTCAAGGCCACTCTCGGGCACCAACATGCACCTTTCTTCACCCCTCATCGCATCGTCCTCCCACTCAAGAAAACCAAAAGTGACCGATACCGCTACTCCCCAGACCTCTCCCAGAGAGACTTTGGACCAGAACTTCGAGGCGAATGCGGCGGTGGCGACGAGGGCCTCCCAGGAGGCCCCAAAATGGGGGAAACGAGGAAAGGTTCCTCCTCCGACATTCATCGCCCCCCCTCCTCAACGCCCGACCATCCTGGGCGTCGACTAATGCGTGTGCGATAGATTGGGTGGGGGTGAAGAAAGGTGTAAATTCTGTGCTGCTTATGGGCCCCAGGGGACCCCATTCAGTGGCTCTTTCGGGAACGAATGCAGTCGGGCCGCTGAAAGAAGGAACGCTAAGGAATGAAGCCCCGTCTTGGCCCTGTAAGCGCCTCCGTGCCCCAGGAGGGCAAGAGGAACAACAATGGAGGAACTCAAGAAACATCGAGCCCCGTCCGAACCCAGTTCCTTATTTCGGCGTCTTGATTGTAATGCACCTTTCTTCACCCCCCCCGATTATCGCCCCCCCACCCGCGGAAGCCACAAGGTACCGATACCGCTACTCCCCGGACCTCTCCCAGGGTGCGAATCCGACGGTGGCGACGAGGGCCTCCCAGGCGCCCCCCCCAAAGACGAAAACGATGAAATGGCAGCGGTATGGATACCGTTTCCTCCTCCGACATCCATCGCCTCCCCATCCCTCAACGCCTGACCATCCTGAGCGGCGACTAATCGGGTTGCGAGAAAGGTGGGATGAAAAGAGGTGCACCTTTTGTACGCGAAGGGGGCCCTAATGGGGCCCCCTGGAGCCCAAAAGGGGCACGGAGGGTGCACGTTTCTCTCGACCCCCCCCACCGTTCATGACCCATTGCCCAACGCCCGACCATCAGTTGGCGGCAAGCACGGGGGGGGAAGTGGGAAAGGGGTGGTCTCAGAAGCCTCGGAAGTCCCCCAGCCTGCTCAGAAGTCTTCCAAGCCTTCCCCGAAGACACATCACACTTTTCAGAAGGCGCGAGGGCTCCTGAGACGTCCCGCCTGCTGAGAAGGCCTTCTCCTTCTCGCTTCCCCCGCTCGCTCGCCGCCGAGTCTCAGGCACTGCGTGGCGAGCGTACCCTCCGAGCCTTGGGCTTACAGGGCAGTTTTTGATACCTAGGATTGCTTTATATAATAACATAGGATTTCTAATACATGGTTAAAACATGAATAAATTTCTGCATGAACTGATCGTTGTTTGTGCATACTAAAGCCTTGCATTTTTAATACGTGATCCGCACGCGGAGCATGTATTAAAAACAGCACTGTACCCATTATTTCCGTATCCCACGCCCATTTCCTGTTCACCCCATGCTCGCCCCGCATAGTCTGCTGCACACATTCGCCTAAGTCGATCGTGCAACATTTTGTCTTCTTGCCAGAAGGACGCTACATGCGTTGTACCTAGATTCCAATGCAAAAGAAGTGAGGCCGACGATCGTTGATCATCTCTTGTGGCACTGGCAGCAGCCTTCATCTGCTTCCACATGCCTAAGTCGGCGCACGTTACTTGTTTCTCTTGGAGGACACCAAATGCGAAAACGTGGAGCTCATGATCCCTGTCGCCCATTATGTCCGATGTCGCCAGACCGAACTCAGGTCTGGCAAGACGCCAGTGTACCAGCGTCACAGCGTGTCCCACTGAAGACGGAAGAGCTGTTTGCTCGACTGCACCCAGCAGCAGAAGACCGGTCGAATCACTCGTCCATTGAACGGGACGGAAACAATGACGGCTGGGTCTCCGTCGGGGTGAAAATTCTCAAACTCCTGAATTGATTATGGTTACTGCGCACAGCGCTCAATGCTCAAGAAGGGTCCCTGCAAACACGGGGAATCTCTCCCGTCCGTGGTTGACCGATGTCGTCACTGCCTGAAATTCACCATGCTGATAAATCTGTGCCCAAACGTCTCACCTTGTTTTAAATCAGACGCCCAATTCCCACCAGCCCGTTAGGGCGTTGATGGTCTAGGGCGGTTCCTCTTCCAACCCCCTTTCCCCCCCTTCGGAAAGAGGGGTTAACCACAATTCCTCGTAATATGCACCCCCTCCCCCAGGCGACCGGCAGCCAACCAGGAGCAATGAGGACACCAAGCTCACCCCCTCCCATATCTATCAAAAAACAATACTGAACGCACTCTGCCTGCAAATGTTTTGGAGCATGCGCGGCCAGCCCGATGCGCACCCCCCCACTCACCATCTCTGTCCAAGAAATACAACGTTCACTTTGGGGCAAAGTCTTGATCGTGTTCGCGAGGCCCGCGAACACGTTGTCTTGTTTTCGACAGGGACGGCGGGGGTGTCAGCATGTTGCCTGCTGCGCGCAGGGCGACGAGCCCTGACAAAAAGCAGCACGGCATGCACCTCGCGGCCAAATCTGCATCCTGCGCGGCCAGCCCGGACACACTCCGCACGTGCCCCGGGCGTGGCGCACCTGGCGCGGCTGGAGCATGCGGCACACCTGGCGCACGCGAAGCATGTGGCGCATCTGGCGCACCAGGCGTGCCTGGCACGCTTGGGCCCCAGGGTTGCCTGGCGCGAGTGGCGCGCCTGGCAAGCGTGGCGCAGCTCGCCCCAGCGTCGCGCACATGGGGTCGGCGTTGGTTCCCAGCAGCTGTCCATCCAAAGGCGAGCGCTGAACATGCTCAGGCTCGGGTGTCACTTCTGTGTTGGGAGGGCGGGTGGGATTGAGATAGACGGCTCGCTATCTAGGAGGATGTCTTGACCCCTCCCCCTCCCCCCTCCACTGGACTTGGGACGGGGGGGTCCTCGACGCCTTGGGGAGCGTGAAAGATGGCCCAAGATGGCTCCAAGAACGCCTCAGAGAGCCCAAGATGACCTCCAAGATGGCTCAAGATAGCCCAAGGTACCTCAAAATGGCTCCCAAGATGCTCCACAAAACGGCTCCAGGTGGCCACGGAGCCTCCCCAGGAGGCCACCAAGAAGTCAACAGCTTTCCAAAACCCAAGGCAAATCAATGTTGGTTGCTGTCTCGCCGTTATGGCCTTCCGAGGCCTCAGGATGGCTCCAAGATGGCCAAAGAAGGCTCCAAGAGGGGCACACGAGAGCCCCAATACGGCCTCAATAGCGCCCACGAGCGCTCCAAGAGCGCCCCGAGAGACGATTTGAGACACTCTAAAAGGGCAATGCTAAGTGAAGCTCCCTTCATGCTGTATCGGTGCCTTCCAAGCTGGCTCCAAGAGCGACCCGAAAGCTCCCAAGAGCGCCCCGAAAGGGCCCCAAGAGGAGAAAAGACGGCTCCAAGAGGCGCCAACAGGGCCTCCAAGAGGCTCCCAAGAGACTGCTACTAGGCCTCGAGGGGATCCCTGAGGCACCCAAGACGCGCAAAGACGGCCGTGGGCCCGCCAAGATGCCCCCCCCCCCCCAGACGCCCCAAGAGGCTTCCGAAAAGCTTCCAAGCGACACCCGAGGAGACTCCGAAAAACATTCACAAGGCTTATGGTTCTTCTGTTCGCCTTTTTCATCCTCCTCCTCCTCCTCCTCCCTCCTCCCTCCTGCCTCCTTCTCCTCCCCCACATCCTCCGTCTCCTCCTCCTCTTCCTCCTCCTCCTCGCTCTTTTCAACGTTCTCCTCCTCCTCCTCCTCCTCCCTTCTCCTCGCCCTCCTCCTCCTCCTCCTCCTCATCCCTCCTCCTCGCCCTCCTCCTCCTCCTCTTCCTCCTCCTCCTCCTCCTCCTCCTCCTCTTGTTCCTCATCCGTTGACTCCTCCATCCTCCCCCTCTTCGGATACGACGTCTTACCCAACAATTCGCTACATTGCATTATGCTTCACATCCCTGCTTAGGGCAACTCGTATGGGCATCGTTTCTGGATGTGCTGGTGGGCCGATTCGAAGCATCTAAAATTCGCCCAAACCACCCACTGACAGCTTCCAACAACCTGTCATTGCCGCGTGCGATCAGTCCCAGAATAACCCAACAGAATCTCTCGACACGCGCATTGGACATGCCGCAGGACTCTCCAGTTCCGTGGAACGCCCGAGCTATCTTGTCTCACACACGGAGAGACGCAACACAACATAAGGCACTCCAACCTCTCCGACCTCCTGTGGAAACCGCAGTGGAAGATGCCAGGTCCGTAGACAACGGCGACGATAACGATCGACATGCTGACAACTGCCACGGCACAAACGAGACAAAGGCCAACGGAATCATAATGTTGGCGACAACCACCAGCAGTGGCAACTTACAGCAGCGGTGGTAGAAACTGAGAGCATGCCAACGGCGGGCATCCCTCCCTTTGAGCAGGGACCGACCGCCCCGGCATTCCTATAGGCCTACCACGACATGTCCTTAGAACCCAAAAATGCTATAAGAGCAAAAACCTGTTTTTTAGAACAAAAAAGACTGATGTGTTAAAACAAGACCAGCCGCAGCCAGAAATGTTCTGAGACGATGTCGTACAGACCACAAAAAGGTTCTCTTAGAACATTCCCTTGGTGGGCCCATAGGACAGCCAGGACGCTTCGCCACTGCTTGAGCCAACGGCGGGCATCCCTCCCCCCCCCACATTCTCACTCCTCCTTGTGTGTGCTCACCCTCCTCCTCATCCTCATCCTTCCCTCTCTTGATCCCTTCCTATTCTACCTCCTCTTCCTCCTCCTTCTCCCCTCCCTCCTCTCCTCCTCTCCTCCTCCTCCTCCTCCTCCTCCTCCTCCTCCTCCTCCTCCCCCCTCCTCCTCCTCCCCCTCCTCCTCCTCCTCCTCCTTCTCCTCTCTTCTTCTCCTCCTCCTCCTCCTCCTCCTCCTCCTCGTGTGTGTGTGTGTGTGTGTGTCTGTGTCTGTGTCTGTGTCTGTGTCTGTGTCTGTGTCTGTGTCTGTGTGTGTGTGTGCGTGCGTTGCGTGCGTGCGTGCGTGCGTGCGTGCGTGCGTGCGTGCGTGCGTGTGTGTGGTGTGTGTGTGTGTGTGTGTGTGTGTGTGTGTGTGTGTGTGTGTGTGTGTGTGTGTGTGTGTGTGTGTGTGTGTGTGTGTGTGTGTGTGTGTGTGTTTTTGTGTCACCTTCTTCTCCCCGCGCAGGCGCGCGGACGCCTCCAGCAGGCGGGCCCCGCGGTTCTCCGTCTGCGACGCGCGCTCGGACCCCGCCAGGTCGATCATCGACAGCTTCCTCGCGGTGCAGCGTGGCGGGCGACGCGACGGCACCGAAACGCCCGGCCGGCAGCGGCCCCACGCGGACGGTTTCCCCCCCTGGGTCGTAGGCGACCCGAAGAGGAGGAGGAGGAGGAGGAGGAGGAGGAGGAGGAGGAGGAGGAGGGCGAGGGGAGGGGAGGAGGGAGGAGGAGGAGGAGAGGAGGAGAGGAGAGGAGGAGGAGAGGGGAGAGGAGGAGGAGGAGGAGGGAGGAGGAGGGAGGAGGAGGAGGGAGGAGGAGGAGGGAGGAGGAGAGGAGAGGAGGAGGAGGAGGAGGATTGAGGAGGAGGAGGAGGAGGAGGAGGAGGAGGAGGGGGATGATGATGATGATGATGATGATGAGGAGGAGGAGGAGGAGGAGGAGGAGGAGGAGAGAGAGAGGAGGAGACTAGGAGGAGGACGGGTCGCCTAAGCCCTTCTGAGAAACCCTCCAGCCCCATGGGGGCAACTGCGCCCGCTCCGATCTCTTCTGCCCCCTCCCCCCCCCATGGCATCTGATCCGACATCTTTCGACCACTGAGGTCCACAGAACCGAAGACCCTCCAGTGAACAAGCACAAATGCTCATTCCCTCCTGCTGCTGCTTCCTTCCTCCTTCCTGCTCGTCCTCCTCCTCCTCCTCCCGTCCCCCCTCCCTCCCTCCTCCCTCCCCCTTCCGCTCGTCCTCCTCCTCCCTCCCTCCTCCTCCTCCTCCTCCTCCTCCTCCTCCTCCTCCTCCTCCTCCTCCCTCCTCCTCCTCCTCCTCCCTCCTCCTCCTCCTCCTCCTCCTCCTCCTCCTCCTCCTCCTCCTCCTCCTCCTCCTGTGCGCGCCCGAGCGCCCCAGAGCCGAACGCCCAGCTGTTGCAGCGCATCTGCGCCAAGGCAACACTGTTTGAAGGAGAGGGCGTCAAGGTGGAGACTCGGGATGCGGGCGGCCTCCCCTGATATTGTGTTGCTCCCATCGTACTCCAAGGCCACATCCCAGAAATAATTCCGAGCACCCGGAACAGTGTCGAAACGGTGTCGCAACAGTGTCGGCACTTGTTTCTGGTGTTCGAAATGTTTTCTGGTGATCGAGGCTAAAGTAGGTTGGAACATCATAACCCAGATGACGCTCTGAATGCATCTAGCGGTTCCTACTATGACGTAACAAGACCCTTGACTGCCGATTGGACCGGTCAGACTCTAAACATCCTCATGGGCTCAACATGCATAAGCACATCACTTTGCTCGGATGCGTGAGTACGTGCGCACTCTTGTATACTACACGCGCAATACATCTGGACGGATGCGCGTTGCGCTAGACAGTCAATGCGATATGTGAACTAGGTGTTGGGGCCCAAACCCTTAAACAGTCCTACCCAAGCAGCCGCAATGCTCCACACAATACACGTGCAATGACAGAACCATCTCCGTAGGCGCGTACATTCACATGTACACCCAGGTGTGCACGCACGTGCATGCATGCGCACCCGTATGCTGTATGCCAACGTGGCCATGCGCACACACACACATTAACACACACACACACACCACACACACACACACACACACACGCACACACACACACACACACACACACGTCAGTGGACTCCGCGTTAACAGCCCACCTGGCTGTGTGACACGGTGTTGTGCAGTTTGCGCGCGACCCCTCCACCAGGCCCCAACATGAACATCCCATGAGGCACCACAACATCGGTGCAACGTTACGGCCGCGCCACACTACAAGCTCATAGTGAGTCTTCCCAATCGCCCCCAAGATGGTTCTTGTCGGGAGAATTGGGTAAAGCCCTTCTGCATGTATTCAATGCTGCGCTGGCACGGTGGCGAGGGTGGCCGCACGCTGCTGGAGACGCCTGCATCAAAACGCAGATTCTGCGCACTCATCTGCACGCACGTAATGACATGCTGGCTGGGGGTCGGGGTGAATCCGTACGTCACACGTGCGCATGCAGTGCACACCTGCAGTCAGTGCTAGACCAATGGCGTTCTTGCCGTGGGCTCCATAAGATTGTTTGTATTTGAGCCAGAGCCATCGCTCAGAGGGAAGACGGTGTCCGCGTGATTGGCAACTATTGCCTTTGGAGCCGACGCCGCCTTCTTGGCTGAAAGACCGGTAGAGGTTAGTTTCCAGGTTACGGTGAGGGTGGACTCATCAAGCAGAAATATTCGCCACCGTGCCGCTGGGCACGGAGTGGACGTGTCCTCAGGTCCTTTGCCAAATTCCCTGAGCCTCAGTCCTCGATCCGATCCTTAGGATTCTTTGAAGGGCCTCGCGCGCCCAAATTCTCAATTCTCCCAGGGCTTCAAGCGGCTTGTCGGCGGGGATCCGCCGCGTCTTGTCGCATGATTTTTCTGGACATAAGAGGGCCTCCAGACGGGCCAAGAGGGCCCCAAGAGTCCCCGAAGACGGCCCGAGAGAGCCCCGAGTTGCCGAAAGATCCCTCCAAGACAACCAGTCTGGCCCAAGGACGGCTTAGGAGACCTCCACGACACCCACGAAGCTTCCAAGAGGCCTCCCAAGAGGGCACTAAGAGGCCCAAGTCATTGATTTGCTTGAGGTGTTTGACGGCGTTGGGCGTTCTCGCCTTCTCGTCTTCCCGACGCTCCAAGATGGCACAAGGGGCCCGCAAGATCGCCCCAAAGGCGGCCAAAAGAAGCCTCCCAGAGGGCCCAGAAACTGCCCAAGAAGCGCCCAACACGGCCTCAGAGGCCCCAAGAACGGCTCCAAGAGGGGGCCCAGATTATGGACCCACATGTCCACGGGCCCGGGACTGAATGCGGTCCAATCGCCACAACAGGCGGCGAGGTTGAACTTTTTGATCCCCTCCAAAACTCCTCATTATCGCACGTCTGATCTTCGGGAAGATCGATCCAGACATCCTAACATCAATATCTCTGGGAAACAAATACTATCCTCCCTGGAAAGCGAATTTGATGACGCCCAGGGGAATACTCTCACAAACATAGGTTTAGCTCAGAGGTGCCTGGGGGGGTGGCTTCTTTTGGGGCACGTGGGCCGGGTTGTCGCACACAAGAATCCACGAGCCTTATGATGCATCCTTGGGGTCCCGTCGCGGCCCAATCCGCATCGAATCCGTGTCGAATCCATGTCGGACTCGTCGGATCCGTGTCGAATCCGTGTCGAATCCGCTTCGAATCCACGTTAAATACGCATCGAATCCGCGTCGAGCCCGCGTCGGACACAAGAAAAGACATCAATTTGGGCGACATGCCAAGTCCCCCGAAGATGCAGCGTAAGAAACGGGTCCTTGAATCCGGGGAGTTTCCTCCAAGACGAAATCTTCATCCTGAGCCGCTTTCTGACAGTGCCGGGGCCTGCAGAGGCCCGGGGGAAGCCCAGAACGGCGAAGGAGGGCCTGCTTCCCTCAAGACAACTTTCCCCATGGCGAGGTATGCATCATCGAGCGCTCATGTGCATCGTCGGCGCCTCAACGATGCAACACAGCATGCTGCGTATGCGCAAACAATTTGTTGGAGTCCCATTCGAGCTGCCCGAAACAAGCAACATAATTCAAGCACAAGCACAGGCCCGCTCCCTGTCAATGTCGTCCCATCTCGACCGCGCTGCTGTACGACCACCTCTCCGGGTGGGGCCGAGGAATTGTCATGCCAACTCGCTTTGGAACAGCATTATGTTATCCTGGCACTGGCTCTGCTCAACCCTTTGGCGCTAATCGCGGATGCGCAGCGCCAAGTGCATGCTCTGAGGGTGGCACAGTCCTACCGCGCCCATCTCGAAGGACGCGCACGCCCGAAGGGGGGCGGCGCTGTGAGCGGACAGCGCGGAAACTGCCGCCACCCATCGGCCCCGCAGTGGTGATGACCACCGCGGGCAGACGCCCGCGGTGGAATGGCCGTCTGGGCCAGCGGAGTTCGGCGGGGGCCCCCTGCGGGCCCTGTGGCCACGCTAGGCGTCGACATAGATTGATGAAACGATGCAATGGACTGGCCATCGCTCGGAGGTCCATTCCCTGTGCCGATTTTCGGTTCCGTGCGTGGCTTCTTCGCCACGTGATCTCAAGGATGCTCCTCGATGGCCCCCGCCGACGGAAAAATGCACGCGCCCGAGCGATGCCAAGCGGAGAAGAGTGAGAAGCATGCATACTCCAGATTTCGTAATAAAGGGAGGGGGGTCTCATTTCGGGGGGGGTCTCTTCCAGGCTATCTTGGAGGGCCTGGGGTGTTCTGGGGACGATGTTTTGGAGGGTTCTCCCACGAGGGGGGGTCTGAAATGGCTTGTCTTGGAGGGTCCAGACCCCCTCCCTTTTATTACGAAATCTGGAGTAAGAAGGGCCAAAGGGGGGGCTTCGCGGATCCCGCCGGCACCATGCCGTATAAAACCCTCATGGGGCACGCAAAGGCACGAGCGGAACACGTGCTCCGAACGCGAGGTCCACGCGCACGACAGCTCCTGGGACACGTAAAAGACATGCGTGAGATTGAAGGGAATCCCGCTTGATCCGGCTTACTCCCGCTTGATCCCGCTTAGTCGGGCTGACTCCTGCTTCGTCCGAGACCCACTCCGGCGTAACATCTCCCAAATGGCGCTCAATCCTCCTTAATCTTTCCGACGAAAACCTCCCAGTAGTTGCCTCCTAAGATTCCCAAGAACATCTGGGAGAATATAGGGAGTGGGGGGAAGGCGAACCTCCAGCGAATGTGGAAACAGATCGGAAAGCGTGGGATTCACTTGTGTGAAGGGGCCCTGGGACACACCAATAAATACACACAAATAAAATGATCCCCCCTATTTTCCCATATTTTTTCTGGGCTTCTGTTTTCCTGCCCACTTCCCATAGTTTCCCATATTTTCGAGGAAATCGAGGATTCATTGTGTCCGTGTGTTTCTTTTCCTCCTGAGAGATGCACTCTCGGGGCTGCGAAAGCCTCGTCCCGGCGCACCCCTCACGCACTGCCTCTCTGGCATTAGTCTCGGGCGCGTAAGGATGCGCTTGGGAAACGCCTTCATGGCTACGGGACTGTCATTTCAGCACGCCGCTCACGCAATTCCTGCTCCACAATTCACTGGGACATGAAAATACGAATGATCTGCGCTCCGAGGCCGTTCGGCCGTTCGGCCCCCCGCGGGACGCCAGCATGGCCCCAAGAAATGGTGCAGCGATTGGTGCCGACCCTCGTCCGGGCAATCTCCCTAACGCCTACTGGTTCCAAAATCGGCGTGCAAACTCCCCCCTGGGGGCCCGCCCTGACTCCCGCCGCTGCGGGCCCAACACTACACCGCCCACTTCAAGAGGACGCGCACGCCTAGGAGGTGGAGGAGGAGGAGGGGGAGGAGGAGGAGGAGGAGGGGGAGGAGCAGGAGGAGGAGGAGCAGGCGCAGGAGGAGGAGGAGCAGGAGCAGGAGGAGGGAGGCGAGGCGGCGAGCGGAGCGGGAGGCCCATGGAAGAGTGGTGCCACGCGCGCCGCGCGGGGACGGTCATCGTCCGATCACCGCCGCTGCCGCCTGCTGTCTCCTCCCTCCTCCCTCCTCCCTCCTCCCTCCTCCTCCCTCCTCCTCCCTCCTCCTCCCTCCTCCTTCCTCCTCCTCCCTCCTCCCTCCTCCCTCCTCCTGCCCTCCCCCCCCCTCCTAAGGGGCTCGAGCACCTGCATGGGGAACGAGGACCTCAGACCTCGAGAAGGCAACTGTTCTGCCACCGCCAGCTGCGAACATCTCACGAATCAGGCGAGTTGGCCCTGCGCCGGGTGGGGATATCGTGACCGCGGCGCCTGGAACGGGATCGCTGCGGACACCGGCGAATCGGACTGGGAACCGGATCGCAATCGGCCGCAGCAGAACAATGGCCTTCCCGAGGTCCGAGACGATGTGTTCCCAAAGCAAGGCTCTCCACAACACGATTGCGTTCCAAAAAATACCACGACGAACTCATAAACATCAAGGTATCCGCGGGTTCCTCAGGGCATCCAGTGGAGCAGGGTGGGACTGATGAGCAGCCTCCACCTTTAACTCCTGAGTTTGAGCGCGGAATGCATAAACGCTGACCTTACAGCGGCGTGTCAAGAACCGACCGCAATTGTGGCTGTAGCGTCAAACTCGACGACAATACAACGTTGAAAGCAATTCACCCCCCCCAGGTTTTATCAGTAACAGTCAAATTAGGTAATTAATTTCAGCGGGCGTGGTGAACAGCCGAGCGATATAGTTTAGCACCCCGAGCATGTGGGAGGGGGGAAGCGGAGGGACGCTTGGTTTTTTGGGGGTCATACTGGGGAGTCCAATGAAGAGCATCCAGCGGGAGGCTTCCATGGTGGACTCATCTGTGGGAGACCCACAATGGCGTCCCACTGAGATCCAATCCTATCGGGATCCTCTCGGAACTCTACCAGAATCCGATTCAGATCCGGGAAGACGACTTCCAGGGGGCCGAGCGGTGACAGAGTTGAACCGAAGAGGGCGTGGGAACTCTCAACTGCTTGCTGTGGTGAGTGGGCCGGCCGAAGCCATGACAACACAGGTGCAGCAACTCCTCCGGTGAGGCTCGGAACAAATCGGCCCGGGGACCCAAAGCGGCTGGACAGAAAGGCTCTCAGCCTCCTGGTCACGGGCCCTTGTCCATGCAGAACAAAGCATCCGCCCGACTTGGCGAAACGACTCCTCAGGAGCTCTGGACGGGCATCCCCTTTTCGCACACTGGGCTCGCGGGCAGGGCACTCGACTGGCGCCGCGCAGCGGTGGCAGCACCTGCGCTTTCTCGTGGCGCCTCTGGGGCGCCCCAGGGAAATTGTTACAATTCCCGTTTTGTGTGCTGAATTCGATGGTGTCATTAGTTCTTCTGTCTGGGGTCCTGGGGGCGTCCCGGGCACCGTCATAAAGCAAAGGATGGCGGGGTATTGCATATGCTGTTCGGCTTCGGTGGCTTTCCAAATCTCCTCAGGACTTCTCGGGCCATCTCAGGCCCGCGGCCTTATCACCGCCGCCCGAAGGAATTCTCGCAAAGAGCTGGCACCAGTTCGTCCCTTCGCGCGAACCTACAAACCCACCGCAGACGCAGACGCCCCCGGTGCTGCTCCTGCGTGCTGGCTGGCTGGCTCTCGAGCGATCCCTCGCGGCGAGGACACCGCCGCTGGCACGAAGACCGGAGCTTGCAAACCGATGCCTCTGAAAACGCTAAGAAACATCGACGTGCAGTGCTTCATGTGAACGTTTTCGTATTCAACGCTACGAGATTGGGCGGAAAGGGGGGGAGGCAGGGGGAGAGTCTGGCCCTGGACCTCTGCTCAATGAGCGCAACTGTTTGCAACAAGGCGTCCTTCGGGGGAGGCTCCACCTGCCTGAAGTAGGCGCCAACACCAGCCAGGATCTGCTCCATGGTGGGGGGGGAGGGCTCGCGCCGATCGACAAAACAGCGAAGACGAACACGACGACCGATAAATATCGGTGTGCACTGCTTCATCGATCTGATCACGATGTTGTCTGTCCATTGTTTCGGGGATGGACAGACCCCCCTTTAGTAAAACGTGGTTTAGTGAAAACGACCTGAGGCCCAAACCTGGCGGGCGCAGCCTGGAGAATAACGGCCGCGGCGCCCTCTCGAGGACCGAAAACAGACAATTCACTAATCGACGTGTCACTGCTGGGGGGGTCTGTCCGCCCCCGATTGTTTTCAAACATGCAAAGGGTCGTTGCCCAGATGGGGGGCCATTGGGTTGGGTGACGCGGTATCACCAACGGGGGAGGTCCAGTCCGAAAATGGGAGACGTCACAACCAACGAAAACGGATGGCAACTGTTTCGGTACCAATCCCAACCAACTGGTGCCAATCACAACCATTTTGGAAACTTCTGGTGTTCCTTAGAGGTTCCTCAGAAGTTCCTTAGAGACTCCGTAGAGGCTGCGTAGAGGCTCCTTGCCGGTTCTCTGAGGAGGTGCCTTGAAGACTCCTGAGAGGAACTTGAAGGAAACTTGCGAATTGCTAAGGTCCCTTCGCATTTCCGAAGTTTCCTCAAAAGATCCTAGAAGCTCTCGGGAGGATTTCTGGAAGATTCCTCAAGGATCCCGTCGGATTCCTGGGGATTCCTCATGATGCCTGACGAGTCCAGAGGATTTCTCAACGATGCCTTACGGATGTCGCAAGGTTTCTCCACGGATTCCTCTGGATCCCTTCGGATGTTTAAACAGCTCCTGCGGAATCCTGAAGGATTCCTGGGGATCCCTGAAGCACTCCTGTGGGCTCACCAGGGATTCCTGCGGATTCTTTAGGACTCCTGCGAATTCCTTGGGGTTCCTGGAAGATTTCTAAATCAAGGCTCCTGACGGATTTCTGCAGGATCCCCATGGGCTTCTGAAGATTCGCAAAAGATTCCTAAACATTTCTAACGACTCCTAAAGGATTCCTGAAGGATCCGTGAAGGATTTCTGGGTATTCCTGGGGAGTCCTGATGTTTCCTAAGTTCCTGAAAGATGTTCCAGGTCTCCTGTGGACTCCGCAAAGCTTTCTCATAGAACCCCGAAGGATTCCTAACACATTCTGGCAGGATGCCTGACAGATTCCTGCGGGTTCCTCGGGGCTCCTTTCCCTTGGGATTCCTGAAGGTCTTGTGCCCTCGGCGTTTCGGGGCGCTCCCGAACCCGTGGGGAGAGCAAGCGCGCCCGAACGCTTCACTCTGCCCTCCGCCGCGGCAGCGGTCGGCCCCCGGCCTCCTCTCCCGAGAGCGACGCTTCCAGTGGAAGCGTGTCGTGCCCTCAAGGCCTCGGTGAGCCCCCGGACCCATGGGTTTAGACGCCCGAAATGGGCACGGAAAAAATGGGTACTGTGCCCAACAACAAATGTTGTCCCAAACCAACAGCGGCCGCTGTTGGGCAGGCGGCCTTCTGTCTCGAATGGACACAGGCCGCGGCGGCGCGGACAGCGAGTCCTGTTCAAAATGAACAGGAACTGCTGTTGGGCATTGTGCCCATTCTTTCCGTACCCATTTCGGGCGTCCAGAATGGGGAGGGAGAGGGGGGCGAACGGGTCGCTTTGCCCGGGGCCGCCACCGCCGCCGAATCGTTCGGTGTCCGCCTCCTTTCCTGCGGGCGCGGGGTCCATCCAACCACCGAGGGCGACGTTTCCAATGAAAGCGTTTCGTGCCCTCCTGGGTTCGGGGAGCTCCCGAAACCACGGGGAGGGAAAGCGTGGCCGAATGAATCGCCTTGCCCACCGCCGCCGCCGCCGAATCGGCCCCCGCCTCCGTTCTTGCGGGCGCGGGGTCCCCCAACCCCCCGAGTGTGACGCTTCCAATGGAAGCGTTTCGTGCCCCCGGGGGTTCGGGGAGCCTCCGAGCCCATGGGGGGGGCGAGGGTGGCCGAACAAGTCGCCTTCCCCTCCGCCGCCGCCGCCACCTTTCCCACGTCCCTATCGAACGCACATTCAAACAGACGCATAGTTGTGTGACGTGTTGCGTGCCCCCACCAGCCCGTCCAGTCACGATCGGAGCATTTCTTAACGCCTGTTGGAAGCTATTTTGAGCGCTGGTCGGCTACAGGCTGTCGGAGGCTAACCTGGGCGTATGTTGTCCCCATCGTACTTAAGGACCCTGGTGATCAAGGCTAGTAGTTTGGAACATCATAAACCTGGGCCATGCTCGGCTGCCTTTGGTCATTTTGAGACTGTCATCAAGCCTCTTGGAGGTCCGTCGGGGGCTATCTGGGGCCATGATCGACCTCCTGGGACCAGCTTGGGGATTAGGAGGAAGAGGACGAGGAGGAGGAGGAGGAGGAGGAGGAGAAGGAAGAAGAGGAGGATGAAACAGGACGAGGTAGAGGAGGAACAATAACCGACCACGGGCGATAATAAAGTACCCCCCCTTTACCCCCTCTATTTTTTTATCCCCGACCACAGGGATCTATATGTGGGGAAGGCGCGGAGGACGAACTTGATAATCCACGGAAAAATTACGGGGATCGAAACTGCTATCAGATCATGTTGATTAGCAACAACATCAAAAACGCTGAACATTGCCATGGTGGTCTCACCACACCAGCTTCCGCAATCACGAGCGTGTGGCAGAGCTGTGGGATTCTCACCAATTCAGGTTGCCCACGTTACGACCGTGCGGCAAGGCCATGGGAGTTTCATTTTCCTAGCCGTTCCCGAGTCAGGAACGTGTGGCAGGGCCCTAGGGACCGATTGGATTTTGATTGCGCATGCGTTTTTCGAGCAGGCAGAGCCTTGAAGTTAGTTAGTTAAGTGAATTACTTGTATAGCGCACCCCTCACACGGTTCGCGGCCCTTCTGCGGGCAAGTATCCACGAGCCTCGAGATTTCGAGAGTCATCCTTGTGTAGTGCGCCTCTGTGGGCAAGTAGCCACGGGCCTCGAGATCGCTCGAGTCAGGCTTCTGTCGTGCGCCTGGTTAAACCTCCTCCTCCTCCTCCTCCATCATCGTCATCGTCATCATTATCGTCATCGTCATCGTTATCGTCATCATCATCATCATCAACAGCATCATCCTCATAGTTAACTTACCTTCCCCGGGGACATCCTTTATTATCTCAGCGGGACACGCGAACTTCACTATCCCAGGAGGGTTATTATCGCCCGTGGTCGGTTAGAGAAAGAGGAGGAAGGGATAGAAGAAGAGGAGGAAGATGAGGAGTGGAGCACGAGAAAGATGAGGAGGAGGAGGCGGAGGAAGGAACGGAGGAAGCAGGACATCAGGAGGGAAGCAGGAAAGGAGGAGGGAAAGAGGAACGAGGAGGGGGGAGGAAACAAAGGAGGATGAGGGAAGGACCGGGCGATGACAGCGAGGATGGAAAGCCTGGTGTTGGATGTGCTGTGTTGTGAAAGGTGCGTGGGTATGTGATGTGAACGTGGGCTATTGCGTCGAATATCGGTTGATGTCAAGGGGTGATATGTGTTCGGAAGGGTTGTTGCAAATGGCAAACAAATAAAATGGTACCAACTCCAACCCGGGCGCGTATGTTGACTCCCAGAAAGACTGTGTACTCTTGAGACGTTCATTTGATGTCTGAATCGTCTTCAAATGCTGTACAACTGGAATCCGATTGACGGCTCAAGACGGCTGGTTGTAAATGGTAGCAAATGTCTTTTCTGGCCGGTTGAGAAATGGCCAGATCGGTTGTAATTGGTACCATTCGGTTGGGATGGGTCCGACATGCGGTCCAGCCCCCCCCTCTCTACGTACGATCGTCGCTGTTAACCCCGAAAGGTCTTCAGAAACGCCCCACCCCATAGGGGGTTACTATTTTTTTCGGCGGCCATATTGAAGGACTCGGGTCCCACCAATAGGGAGTGGCTGACTATTTCTCCCGCGGCACCCTCCGCGCAACAACGCCGACGACAGCTACTGCATCGATTGCGGAGGGGAAGCAGGAGGAGGAAGAGGCAGGAAAAGGAGGAGGAGGAGGAGGAGGAGTCTCCGCCGTTCCTCCACCTTTCCCCCCTCTCTTCCCCCATTTGCAGATGCGCCTCTCTCGGCCATCTGAAGAAGAGGTTTGAAGACCAGTCCTACTCACCGCCGAGAGACAAGGGAGGGTGCCCCCAAACTAAGACTTTGAGCGGTTACCCCTGGGGGAGGGGGGCTTGGCCCGCGACCGTTGCGCGCCAGAAGATAGGGCAGCAATCTCCTTGCAGACCGAGCCCAATGATAACACGCGCAGAAATCGACGTGCCCTGCTGCATCGAACCACTCATCCGCTGCTCCGTCCGCAAGCAACCAGCCTGCAGCACGGCATGCGAACGGGAGGAGGTGACGTTCATCGCGGTGGGCTCCGTGGTGCGGCGCCGGTTGCCCGCGTGCAGGAGCTCGAGCACCTCTGCTGCGCGTGTGCGTGCGCGGAGAATGCTCGCACAAGCCAGCGAGAAGTGGACATCGACATCGCTATGGCATAGAAACTGTCAGATCTGACGTCCGAGGTGCACGGTTTCCCCCGTGGCCGTAGGCGACCCGAGGAGGAGGAGGAGGAGGAGGAGGAGGAGGAGGAGGAGGATAAGGACAAGCTAGGTGCGCGCGCGTCATATCTGACATCCTACCCCTCCCTCCTATCCCTTACCATGGCGTGTAGATCCCCTCTCTACTCGCACAGTCGGATGTCGAGCAGAGCAGTGATCCCGAAAAGGTACGCGATGCATTGTGGAGCACGGCATGGCATGGCGTAGAAGAGCACCGCAAAGCGTAGTATGTCACAGCATGGCGTGGCGTGGCGTAGTGAAGAACTGCATCACAAAGCTTCGCAACACAAAGCATGGCATCGCACAGCGGCCCCGAACAGAACATTGCATAGCATGGCGTTGAAGATCAAAGCGTAGCATGGCATAGCACGACGTGGCACTGAAGCACTGCATGTCACAGCTTCAGCTGAAGGCATGGCATCGCGCAGCGGAACGCAACCTAGCATTGCATTGCATGCCGTGGCATGGCACGGGAAATGACGCCAGCGCTGCAGCGGGAACACGATTCGGAACGAGCAGAAGCGCGGAAATGAGGCCATCGCTGCAGCGGTAACAAGATTCGGAACGAGCGGAAGCACGGAAATGAGGCCAGCGCTACAGCGGGAGCACGATTCGGAACGAGCGGGGCCCGAAAATGAGGCCGGCGCCTCAGCGAGAGCAACATTTCGAAAAAAAATGCAGGCGAAAACCAAACTCCCGGGAATCCTGTGTAAAAAAACAATACGCGGGGGGGGGGGGCCAAACACTCCCAACCCGTCATCAGGGGAAGGAGGAGAGTAGTATTCATATTGAATAATGGTGGAGGAGGGGGAGGAGGAGAAAGAGGAGGAGGAGGAGGAGGAAGAGGAGGATGAGGAGTAGGAGGAGGAGAGAGGAGGACGAGTCGCCTAAGCCCTTCGGAGGAACCCTCCAGCCCGAAGCCCAACCGCAACAATGACCCCATGGACGCTTATTATTAAGCTCCGGTCGACCGTGTGGGTCCTGGGCAAGCAACCCCTGAGCCAGACACTCGTCCGTGTGACCGGGGGGAGAGAGTGGACGAGCAAAAAAGAGGCAGGATACAGCCGGCCCGTATCATAAGGATGCGCGATAAGGATGCAAGGGTCTTGGCCGCCCACCTCGGAGCTTCTCGAGAGGGGCGCGGCCAACGGAAGTGGCCCAGGATGAGCCGAGGAGGCAAGTATGCAAGGGTACCCCTGGGAAGGTTGCCCATCCTTCCTGCAGAGCGGACGCGGCCGCAAGAAAACCTCGCAAGAAAACCAGCCCTGAAGACCCACGCGAGGGGTGCGACTGGGGGGAAGCCCAGGGCACCCTGAACGCAGCAGCTTCTTCACCGGCCGCGGGAAGTCACCGCGCAGCGCGAGGAGCGGGGAAACACAGAGTACCCTGATGAAAAGCATATGTAATTTCTTGATGCGCGCCCCCACTGTATGCGGGTCGACTGTACAAGGGGGGGGGCAGAACGGAGGAAGGAACGCTGCATGAGTATCCACCCGCGCCCCGGCAGACCCGAGAGAGCTTGGAGAGCCGAATGCCTGACAAGCTGCCCCACGAATCGCCAAGACCTGCTTGCCTGGGACGGCGCTCCTGCCAGATCCACTCCGCCGTGTGGCGTGGCCTCTTAGATGGACAGATGCGCTGGGTCACGTCCATGGCCCCTGGCTCCGGATGGCAACTGCGGGACGGCAGAGACACCGCGAGTACGGAGGCGGGTGGACTGACGGGGCGGAGATAAGCGGAGGTTGCGGCCGCCCTACGAGGCGAAGAAAAAAATGGCGACCCAAGATATGTGCTCGAATTACGATCTAGGTAACGGATAACTGGCAACATGTACAAACACAAATTGGCCCGACAACTTCAGATGGGCGTTTGAACACAGACTGAGGGCCACCCATCCCCTTACGGCTTGCTGCTATGGCCGTCGTTGGGATCGCGGCGCTGACGGGAGGTGAAGGAAGCAGGCAGAATGGGACAGGCTCGGGATCCTTCAGAGCTCACCCTGGATGGTTGGATGCACGTGGTGAACACTTATTCCATCACACGCACACTGCCCCACAACAGCAAGCATCCTCAACGCACACCCACACACCCACGCATAACTTTAGGAAACTTATGAGAATCCCCCCGGTGCTATCACCGGCACAGCGTAACAAAACACTTCCAGGGCGGGAGTATACCCGAACGATAACTGGAGCACCGTGCCAAACGGCCAAACAAAAATGTATCCACCTCCTCCCCAGTAAGCGACACCTATGAGAAACCTGGCGGCGAGAACGCAAGGATTTTGACATTCGTTTTGAAGATTTGCCAAAGTTGCAAGCATTGGCGGCCTGTCATCAAAATGTGGCTCTTGCAATAGCGTCGCGCACGCCCGTTTTAAACATATGCGCGGGTCTCACGGATTGAAGGCGCCTCGCTTTCAAAATGTGGTGTTCGCCTGAACGCCGCGCGCATCCGTGGCTCGTTCCCAAACTGTAATTCTCGCATTAGCGCCGCGCACATTCGTGATGCAAATTTGCACGGGTTCTCACGGATTGTAGGCGGCTCGTTTTGAAAATGTTGCTCTCGCCGTAGTGCCGCGCGCATTCGACGTTTCCCAACAATTCACGAGCGTCGCGGATTGAGGGCGGGTCGTTTTCAAAATGCGGTTCTCGCCTTCAGCGCCGCGCACCTTCGTTGTGCAGAAATCGCACGAATGTCACCGATTGAAGGCGGCTCCTGTCCCATACGAGTTTCGAAATGCCTTGGCCCCGCGGAATTCCGCATTGAGCTGGCCTTGCCGCTCAATGCGCGCGTGCTGTGGCCCCAATGGTGGCACGAATCGTAAACGTAAGGGTAATAGTTCATCTACTAACGGTAAGAGTAATAAGAATAATAATGTAACTATGTAATACAAATGCTGGTTACCGCCGCCATTCCGTCAACTACAAATTCCTAATACAGAAACCTATGGAAACATCGATGCCGTCCCAGGGGCGGAGGGGGGCATTCCAAGGCATCGCCCCCGCCCCGCGCGAAGCGTTACCTTATGCACCGCAGAACGGTTAAAATAAGTATGCCCCGCCCCCGGGTAATAGTATCAATAATGCTGCGACAATGGAACTAGGACGTGTGTTTGGCAACGTACTGGAGACGCAACAAATATACGCGTGGCAGTAGTGGTGCAAGTAGTAGTAGTAGTAGTAGTAGTAGTCGTAGTCGTAGTAGTTAGTAGTAGTAGTAGTGGTAGTAGTAGTAGTCGTGGTAGTAGTAGTAGTAGTAGTAGTAGTAGTCGTGGTAGTAGTAGTAGTCGTAGTAGTAGTAGTAGTAGTAGTAGTAGTAGTAGTAGTGGTAGTAGTAGTAGTAGTACTAGTAGTAGTGGTAGTAGTAGTAGAAGTAGTAGTATTAGTAGTACTCGTGGTAGCAGTACTAGTAGTAGTAGTCGTAGTAGTAGTAGTAAAATTAGTAGTCGTCGTAAGTCGTCGTCGTAGTAGTAAAAGTAGCAGTAATGGTAGTAGTCGTCGTCGTCGTCGTCGTGGTCGTCGTCGTTGTAGAAGTAGTAGCAGTACTAGTAGTAGCAGCAGCAGCAGCAGCAGCAGCAGTAGTAGTAGTAGTAGCAGTACTAGTACTAGGACTAGTACTAGTACTAGTACTAGTACTAGTACTAGTACGAGTACTAGTAGTAGTAGTAGTAGTAGTAGTAGTAGTAGTAGTAGTATTAGTAGTAGTAGGCGTAGTAGTAGTAGTAGTAGTAGAAGTAGTAGTAGTAGCAGTAGTAGTTAGTAGTAGTCGTAGTAGTAGTAGTAGTAGTAGTAGTAGTAGTAGTAGTAGTAGTAGTTAGTAGTAGTAGTAGTAGTAGTAGTAGTAGTAGTAGTAGTAGTAGTAGTAGTAGTAGTAGTAGTAGTAGTTAATACTACTAGTAGTAGTAGTAGTAGTAGTAGTAGTAGTAGTAGTAGTAGTAGTAGCAAGTAGTAGTAGTAGTAGTAGTAGTAGTAGTAGTAGTCGTAGTAGCAGCAGCAGCAGCAGCAGCAGCAGCAGTAGTAGTAGTAGTAGTAGTAGTAGGAGTAGGAGTAGGAGTAGGAGTAGGAGTAGTAGTAGCAGTAGTAGTAGTAGTAGTAGTAGTAGTAGTAATAGTAGTAGTAGTCGTTGTAGCCGTAGTCGTAGTAGTAGTAGTAGTAGTAGTAGTAGTAGTAGTAGCAGTAGTACTAACAGTAGCAGTAGCAGTAGCAGTAGTAGTACTAGTAGTACTAGTGGTAGTAGTAGTAGTAGTAGTAGTAGTAGTAGTAGTAGTAGTAGTAATAGTAGTAATGGTAGTGGTAGTGTTAGTAGTAGTAGCAGCAGGGTTGCACCTCACCTTCGTGTCGCGGCAAACGTCACCGTCGTGTACTCTCCTTGCGCACAGGGCCTAATCTAAGTCACATAAAGGGAATTGCGAAAATCAGAGTTTGAAACTTGACCTTTTTTTTGCGAATTTCGCGCTTATGCCTGCATTCGTGTAGCATTCGCTGTGTAGCCTGCAATTTGGAACGGCATTAGAAACTGAACCACAAAAGCCGGTTTCAAACCTGCTGTCCTTCGTGTCGCCGTCGGTCCTGGAGCAGCCGCCGCCACCAGCCACTGAAAAGCCATTTGTCTCCTCGGCGTCAACTCCTGTCTGCGGAGCCCGCGCAGGTTTGTTTCACATCATTGCCGCGGGGTCTGATGTACATGAACAGGCACTTGCACAGGGGACCGCGGCAAGGATTTAACTCTCGATTTGTAATGCGATTCTTACATCATACGTTTCGAGTGGAACTCCCACGCAACGCGTTGCCAACACAATCCCCGCGCAACGCGTCGTCAATTCGTTTCCTGCACCGTGGTTTCCAAATTGGGTTATCCCGCGGTGGGTTTTTTTTTTAAAGCATATACCATACAATGGGTTTCCACCTGGACTCCTATACGGTGGGTGTCCCACCGGGTTCCTACACAATGGGTTTCCATTGCGCAGTGTGCTTCCCGAAGGAATCCAATACAACTGGTTTTCGAAAAGATTCCCATGCAATGGGCCCCCACTGGGACCCGTGGTTGCCAACCGGGCTCTCATGCAATGAGCTTCAACTTGGGTTCCTGTTGGATTGGTTTTTATTACGAACCCTAGAGAATGGGTATCCAGTCAGATTCCTTTTTCCGATGGTGCCCCACCAGGATTCCGACACAAGAGATCCCACATTAAAAATATCACACAAGGGTTTCCCAATGATATGCCCACCCAAAAGGTCACCGATAAGATCCCGCAGTGGGCTTCCAACCTGTCGGGTTCCCGTGCGGTGGGGTCCCGATTGGATTCCACTGCGCATGGATTCCACATGGATTCTTGAATAATGGGTGTGTCCAGCTGGACTCTTGCACACCAAGTTTCCAGTAAGGCTTCTATACCATGGGTTTCCTATCAAATCCTACACACTGGATTTCCACATCTGTTCTCATACACGGGGCTGGCAGTACGAGTCCGACGCGCTGGATTTCCAATCGGATTCCTAGACACTGGGTCTCCAATCGGGTTTACATAAAACTAATGTCAAATCGGACTCGGAGTCCTACGCAACGTGTTCCCAACAAGACTTCTTGACAAAAGGCTTCCGATTGGAATCCCAAAGGATATGTTTCCACTGGGGGTTCTACACAACGGATTTCCATTAGGATTGCTATACAAGGAATGCCTCAACGGGTCCTGTAAACAAGGCTTCCGACAATATTCTGACACAGTGGGTCCCCCGTCTGATTCCCGCGCGGTGGGTTGCCAATGCGATTCGCGCGCGCTGGGTTTCCAATAGGGCGCCTACACAATGGGTTTCCAAACCTAACCTTCGTGTACGATTGGCTCTATAGCCCTTGTATTGTTTTCGTGCTAGCGAACGGTGAGATTGTGGGTTTCCAAACCTCACATTCGTGTACTATTAGAATCCTAGTATTCGTAAACGATATCCCTGTGGCTCCTCGGGTCGATTCCTATCAAATTCCCATTCAATTTTAGTGGGCTTTTAATTCAATGTGTGGGCGATTCCTATGGTACCGGAATCGTGCTGGGTTCGTATTGAATACGCATGACAACCCAAGCACACCTGAACCCGAACCCGATACCGAACCGTTGCCCTTACCCGTTCGCTCTTTGTAGACGAAACGATGATGCTTGACTCTTATAGTAGTAGTACCAGTCGTCGTCGTAGTAGTCGTCGTCGTCGTAGTAGTAGTAGGAGTAGTAGTAGTAGTAGTAGTAGTAGTAGTAGCAGCAGCAGCAGCAGCAGTAGTAGTAGTAGTAGTAGTAGTAGTCGTCGTAGTCGCAGTCGTAGTAGTAGTAGTAGTAGTAGTAGTAGTCGTAGTCGTAGTCGTAGTCGTAGTAGTAGTAGTAGTAGTAGTAGTAGTAGTCATAGTAGTAGTAGTAATAGTAGTAGTAGTACTAGTTAGTAGTAGTTAGTAGTAGATAGTAGTAGTTAGTAGTAGTTAGCGGTAGTTAGTGGTAGCTAGTAGTAGTTAGTAGTAGTTAGTAATAGTAGTAGTAGTAGTAGTAGTAGTAGTAGTGGTAGTGGTAGTGGCAGTGGTAGTGGTAGTGGTAGTGGTAGTGGTAGTAGTAGTAGTAGTAGTAGTAAGAGTAGTAGTAGTAGTAGTAGTAGTAGTCGCTGTAGTACTAAGGGTAGTAATAGTAGTAGTACTAGTAGTAGTAGTAGTACTAGTAGTAGTAGTCGTCGTCGTCGTCGTCGTCGTAGTAATAGTAGTAGTAGTAGTAGTAGTAGTAGTAGCAGTAGTAGCAGTAGCAGCAGCAGCAGCAGCAGCAGCAGCAGCAGGAGTAGTAGTAGTAGTAGTAGTAGCAGTAGCAGCAGCAGCAGCAGCAGCAGCAGCAG